TCACCCCCCCCCCCCCCCCCCATTCTCCCCTCGGACGTAAACCTGGCTCCGCCACTGACTCATCGGGAACGAGAAGGTCAATCTGATTGAATTCTGTTTTTATAAGTTTGATCATTCTATCATACAATCTTACGTCTTGACACCATTTTAAAACTAGCTCAACAAAAACACACATTTAAAATAAATAGTCTGTTCTATGCTAGTAATTTCATGCTTTGTGGATTTTATGCATCATATATTTTGTATAACATTCGAGTGTTACAAGGAAGTTGTTTAATGTTTTTTTACCATTTTAATGGTGAAAACGAAATTATTAAATTAACATATTATTATTAAAACTACGTTGACGTAGGCCTACATGCGTCATTTTGACAACAATAACGACTATAGTCACACTTATGAATGTAAGTTATATATATATATTGAAATGACAGTCAGAGTTTAATATGAAAGGGTCAGTTTGAAGAATATATTATTTAGTTACGCCTGTTTCTACTTTACAATATAAGTACCAATATTTTGACTATAATTGCTTTATATTGAGTTACACCTTATATTGTCCCATAATACCTGTTTAACAACCTTCAGGCTAATAGCCTTCTATTTTATTGACACATTCAATATTACCATTATTCCTATTTTCTCATTACCCTTTTAGATCCCCAATTTTTAGTATTTGTATTGAGAGATCTTCAAACATTTTGAGATTGGAGGTAAAAAGAGACTAGTGTTTACTATGGTTAAATTAATTATCTAGAGAGTTTTTCCCCTAATAATTAACATGGAGTATCATTTAAACTGACTGGTCTTGAATAAAACACCTTTACTTTTTAATCATTGTTGACAGAGGTAAATATCACTGGTTATATTATGAACACATTCTAATCGCGTTTTTCACTTATCATTAGATTATTATATTTTCCACGACATACTTTTAAGTACACTACAAGGACTGGGTGAACCTACGAAAAGTAGGATTTAAAAGGAAAAATATTTGAAGAAGTGGCTACTTTTAGAAACCCTAAGGCTTGATTTCTTCCACGGCATACATAAATAGCGTTCAATTAATACGTAGCAGACTTTTTCAATTTCTTTTTTCAAATATAGTTTTAATAATTCTATACGGTTTTCCATTTTCTCGTTTGATGTACTAATTATATTATCATTGTCAAGTTAAAAGGGTTATCCAATTCAAGTGATCTCCTCACCAACATACTACATCTGAACTGTACAAATTCACCGGATCTTCAACTACCAGCATTGATGAATGGAACATCAGTTTGGATTGATTAATATTTGAATCATATGGGGCAGTTTTGTTGTTGATGCATTAAATCATATTTAAATAAAGTGAAAAAAAAACATTTATAAGTGAAACGACATCTTTTATTCACGAAACCAATAATAAACTGAAAAATCACCATTTATTTCCCACTCTAAATATAATATAATGACTAGCAAAAATTGGCAAGTTTACACAATAATTTATATATTGTACACAAATTTACAAACTAAATTAAGTATAATAAATAATAATATACATGAAACAAATTCTTTTCGCATGTAAAAGATAAATAATGTTTGTATTAGGTCTATGATGTTGGATGAGTATGGACTGAGTGTATTAGAAATTAGAACCAAATTATGCTATGATAGAAAAAAAGAGTAAACACTGAATCCATACATCATAGACATAATACGATGAAAATATTCGGGGTAACTGTTTTTAATGAATTATAGCTTTATAATGCAAGTAAACAATCTAATCAAAATGTTTGCTTCACTTCTCTTTCACAGAATACCCTCGACATCAATTGATGACAATTCTCAAACAAACTAAAAAATGAAACGAAAAATCTCTCTCTTCGTTTTTATCAAATTGAATGAAATTCTGAAAGCTGGATAAATTGAAATTAAAAATTCTCCAATTCAATGCTGTCTTATCATTTATGCCTGTCTGTAGTTACAAGTTTGTATGTGTGAGAGGGTGGGTGGGGGGGGGGGGGGGGGCAAAATATTGGACATCAAGTCTGGCTACGGGCCTGCTACTAATATATTCTTCCAATTTTGAAACAGGATGCCATGGTTTATTGTAAAAGTGCACAATACATATGTTGTGCTGCTCAAATATATTTTGTGCATTTACTATATTTTTGGTATTGTACAGTAAATTAAACGTTGGTGCAACTTGTGCTGTAATGGATATCTAATGAGTTGTTATATCATCTACTATATGTATTTTAACATGTTTGTTAAGATGGTCTTTCCTCGTGAAGGCTTTACTACAAGTCGTACATCTGTATGGTCTCTCCCCAGTGTGGATTCTACGATGCCTTGTTAATTCTTCATTTCGAATAAAAGCCTTATTACACCCAGGTTCCTGACAAACAAATGGTCGCTCTCCTGAAAAAATACCAAAAAAAATCGTTGATAGATCGTTATTATGAAATACACAGAAAATATGAAATGTATATCTAGATATATAAAGCTGTTTATGATGCATATATAAAACATTATAAAAACGATTTTTATGCCTTTTTGAGCTTTTGTTTGGCTTTTAGTGTTAAAAGGACAAAAAAAAATGTCATTTTTATTATTAAGTTTAAGTAAGAAAAAAAGTTGAAAGTCTATTCAAGTTACACTGATTTACCGATAAATATAAATCTTATTTATCCCGCCCTACATTTAATTTTGAACCATTCACATCATTCAGTCTTTTGGGGGTATTTAGTGAAAAAAATAGATTAAGATTTCATGAGATAAACACTTCAGTATTATCGATGTTATATCGGGGTCGGTTGATAGAGCGAGTCAATTCTCAACGTGGAAATTCTTCCCCTCATGCACCTGGACGTCTTAAACACACCTGAAGCGATCATTTTTTCATGCAAGTTTTGTGATTTTTACATCCGTTACCCAAGAAATTTAAATATTTCATTAGTTGTCATTTGTTTTAACCTTCCAGTTTTCGGTCTAAGGAATAATCATTTGGGTTCATTAGGAGGATCAGATTGAAAAGAATATTGCTAGTTAAACCAAATAAGCGAGGAAATCGCCCCCAATCGTACCTAAATAAGAACCTACAGTGTCAGCATACTATAGCATCTATTTTTTTTAATTAACAAGTTTTTAATGATTATCAAAATTGACACAACCACCTCTGATACAAACAAATTCATCATATTTGAAAATATCGTCAAGAAGTGCAGATTGGTCATGGGCTAAGCATCTTAGGCTCAGTGAAATGCGTAAATCATTTGAATTGTTTTGACTATAATTTTAGTTCTTACAACCAAATTTCAGAAATCATTTTTCAATTATAAGTGGCTTTTAAAGATGCTCTTTACAGACTAATAAAGGCTTTAAAAAAATAGTTTCAAGCTTTAAGCGAAAGATTTTCCAAAAGTTGACCAAGCGAATCATGAGAACACAAAAATGATCATGAAACTCAATCTGTACTCAATTTATACAGTTAATGAAGTTTTTGTTTATACATTTAGGAATCTATTTTTTGAGAACTCCATTACCCATTAAATGCATGGAAATCTTATTTTTCCATGTCTGAAACATGAGGTACCTGATCCGGTAAACGATTGCAAAGTCAAAGAATTATGCTTGGTGTCAATATTTTGATGGCGCTGTTGAACAAAATGAGACATCTTACCTGTATGTATTCTGACATGCCCCAATAACTGGCCACGATTACTACAAGATACAGAACAATATGGACACATAAATACTTTACTTTTGTTCTGACAGGAGAGTTTTTCTGATTGTTCGTGTTGATACAAGATGGTATCTCGAATAGGATAAGAATGTTTGGTCGGAAGATGATGATGATGGTGCCAGGGTAGAATCTGGGTATTTAATAACATCATTTCTGAAGTACCTCTATCTGATAGTTCCACACATGCAGGACATGACGAATATAAATATTGATATCTCAGGTGATCCGAGTCCGGTAGTAGATACAAAGGATCATTTAATATTCCAACATCCTTAGAAACACTCTGTCTCTGGTTATCTTTCACTAATACAGTTGGTGAAAATATTTTAGGATATGTCCCCAATGTTAACATGATGACTGGTCGGCAAGATCTCACAAATTGATTAAACTACAACTTCATTTGTAGGTTTAAATCTGCTATTGCAGATCATTTAATAAAGAGTCACGTGTGAGGGCGTGAGCTTAATAACTTGTATGCCCTTAAAATTTAGTTTCCAACAATTACACACCCTAGTCATATTTACTTCTATTACTACCCAATCTTTAGATAGACTTAGTTCAGGGCAAACACCTTTTATTACACACAATCTATTCATATGAAAACAGAGCGGACTTCTGGCTCATACGACTTGAATTAATCGCTTGGCGGCGCAACGTGGATTTACCATTAAAAAGTTTGAGGTCTTCTATTAAAAAATTCGAATAGACAAATCGTTCAATGAGATAAACCATTTCTCCCTTTTTTCTATTTGGGCTAAGTCCTACTTTTCACCCGTGGGTCATGTAACCTATTGAGCTTAATGAATTACGAATTCAAAATATTTGATGAAAAGATCAAAGTCAAAATATAATTGAATGAAGGGCGTTAAACTTTATTTCGAAAAGGCTTCTTATTCTTGATTTTATTCCCAAATTTTCCACTTCATTATTTTATGTGTGGAAAAGAAAGTTATATATATTTTGTTTAATATAATAAAAAAATCTTAACCTTTAAAAAAAATAGCCAATACATCAAGTTAACCCCAGGTCAGTAGACATAGAGAGAGAAAACATCAGGTCAACTGACCATTGCAGCAGAAATTTGTTAGCATCAGACAGGTTAAGACTATCCCAGTGAATTGTATTATACCATTTAATGCAGCCATTTACGGGAAACGTGGTTTTTACAGTGCCGAAACCAACAAAAACATTTCTTGTAAATGCCTTCTGTCTACTTTTTACCACATTTTGACGTAAAGGGTCCAAAAGTAAATCTAACGTCAGATCGGTTTAAACATAATTTGAAGTTGAACAAATATTTTTGAAATTAGAGTAGATGATTTGAATATTGTGTATGTGTGGTAGCTACTAAGATATTTGTAATTTACTTTTTGGGGCATTTACTGTTTAAAACCTCATAAAAAAGAAAGAAATTTGATCGTTCAGTACATCAGTTAATAATTATCATCGGTTGTTGCTCCCTACACGCATGACTTGCACCCGACTATACATAATACCTTACGCAACATATCTATTCAAGATATAAATGGATAAATGTAGGTTTTCAAAACTACATTCGTGTATGTGCTTTCTGCATTTCATCTTGTTCTTGTTCTATGGTATATTGTGTTATTTGATAATTTTGATAGTATTATAGTTTTATTCTGGTATCACTCTTCTGATGCCTGCGTGTACATTTAGAAATGGAGGTTTTGAATTAAGTGGTCAATTGGAGTCAGTGCTACCTTCCTGTTATAATTTAACAACAGATTCCTAACAGATTAACCATGTTTACTTTTTTACAAGGATAAAATGGTCGAATTCGCATGCAATACACTGACACAAGGTGACAACATTTTTTATTGTTAATGCAACTGTTTGTTAAGGGACAGATTCCCCATTTTCGGTTGATTTGGGTCTTGAATATTTGTAAATAGTCTTTAAAAGTACTAAAATGTACGAAATCGCACAATTCGTTAAAAAATACATCTAGGCCTACTTCAAAATAGGAATTTTACTCACTAGTTCTATATACATGTATGTCTTTTCTATATATCACAGTATCTTACAATGACGAGTCGTCGTTTTAACTTTTAAACGGGCTACAATTTCGATGGTGAGCTGTGAACACTAATACTGATTTACTTTCTTTCGAGAGATTGCTCTTCAAAATCATTGCATGGAACGTGCATGTTGAAATTCAATAGTTTGTCACCATCCCATATTTTTATCCTGGTTAATAGTCAGTTTAATGAATTCATATTATTAACTCGATATGCGATGCAGCTAAAGTCCCCACAGCTGCATAAATATATTTTGTATTTAGGAAGCAAAAAAATATATTCCCCCAATTTTCTTTAGTAGAAGTCCTTGATAAAATCTCAGTGAATAACAATTTAGAAATAATAATGTTATAAATTTTGTAAATACAGAATCAGACAAAACGGTCGGTTGTCTTTTCATTTGAACGACATTTAGAAGCTATTTGAAGAAGTTGTCTGATTAGCTTCATTGTTGTTATATTATATACTCTCATGTTTAACCCCTCTTCTTAATTTCAGCTTATGTTATGTACTTGTTTTATTAATACGCCCACATGAAATTTGTATGCCTTATATATTGATGCGTATGTTACCTTGCCTGGCGTCCGACATGTTACGGAACCTCGACACTGCAAGATACCAGATTGATCCGAAGATACCAAACCAAACCAAATCAAACCATCCATCTGTAGCCATCTGCAAAGTGGCAACCAGACTCCGGACCAACAACGTACTACGAGACCATCAGTTCAACGCCATTAAATGTCGCTGCGGCCACGTTGCCACTAGGTCGCATGTCCTCATTCAATGCACTGAACTGAAACCCGCTCGTAAGCCACTGCTAGAGTACCTGGAAACCAACGGCATACCACTCACCATACAGAATGTTTTGGCTCCATCCACGGACCACTGGTATACGATAATGGAACTCGTCTTCCATTTCCATTTTCTTCCATCTGTCTTGAACAGATAGGCTAAGTTTTTAAACTCAAAGTTTCTTAACACTTTTTAATTATATCCAATCAATTCAACAAGTTTCATTGCAGAAACATTAGAGAACATCTCTCCCCCTTTTGTGAAAGCTTACCCCCTCCCCCCCCCCCCCCCCTTCTTTCCTCCCTCTTTTTCTCACTTTTTTTTCTTTTTTTTTCCTTTTTTTTTTTCAGGCCTTCGAGTTTTCCAACAGATAACAGATAATCTAACCAAACCAAACCAAACCAACGACTACCATTCGACTACCAATCAACAAGAAATACCATGATCAGAACGAGTTTGGAAAAATGAAGGAAACCGAGTAACTCACGCCACACCATCCAGGGCCGAGTTTCACCGCCATGTCATTCGACCCGACCAGATCTAACGAAGAATCAACAACCAAACCAACAACACAATTTGATCCAATCCAAATACCAACTTCTACGACTACCAACAACTACCTAGTTTGCGATATCAGCATCCGCTGGAAGCGAACGTTAACTCGTCATCTACCTACCTACCTACCTTGCCTGGCAAGCTATATTTATTATTCGTTGTCATTTACACAAACTAAGGTTTACTTCAAAAACAATGTTCAACTATTTATAAAATCCGACTGCCTTTAATAGATTTTGAGGATTATATAGCCTGTGAATTGATGAGATATTAGTACAACAAAGCTTTCGAACTACAAATGCATTATGAAGTTCGTTAATATGATTGTAGTTTAGTTCGTGAAGATATTGCTATCAATTTCAATTTTTCTTGACTTTGTTACATATATGGTAAGCTATATTTCATAAGGAAATAGATCTGTTTCAGTTGAGAAAACAAGACTCTAATTTCGATTAATTATCCCTTTAAAAATCGCATTTAAAAAATGGGCCCAGTAATTGAAAGTTTGTATTGTATAAAGTATATAGAAATACGACCACACCTATGTTTTATGTTTAGAAATAAACTTAAATTGACATGTTTTATTTGAGAAATTAAATGAGTAAATTTATCAACATCTTGAAAATTTATCTCCAGTTGACATCACAAATTTAGAAATAATAAGGATCAACATTTATATAGTTTATTAAAAGAAAATATTACTGTAAGCAAATAAAATTGTTTAATTGATATTAGAACGATTTCAAAACCAAGAAAGTTCAAAGAATTCAAAAGTAAAGGTCTATCTTACTTTTCCCGCATCATCTCACATATTATTAAAAAGATTATACAAAATCTTTATGATCCAATATTTACTCTCGTGGCAGTTGAATTTTGTTTTGATATATCAGTTGCAGCTCCAAAGGGTAACCATGCCCATCCCCACTACCCAAGAATACAATTTTTGTGGAAATAATTAGTATTTTGTTGCAAAATATGGTAGTATTGAAATAATACCCTTTCAGGTTGCAGTATTTAAGTCTTTATTTTCAATTTTTCTCCCTGACACAAGTCAAGCAATTGGTCAGTTTTTTCTTAAGCATATAGTTGCCACCGATTGCTATATATCAATCAGAGGCTCTCGAGTTATATCAATTGCAAGATCTACTTGGACCATTCTTCGGAGAACAATATGTATTTTGGGCGTTTATTGCGATTCATTAACAATACTGTAAATATCAGAATATTGATATTTTTCATATCAAGAAATCAAAATAAACTTCATATATGATAGTATTTACAAATTATGACTTAGTGAATACCTGAGACGTGTCAGCATGAAATAAGTCCTTATCAATCACGCCTCGCCATCTCACATGCTTTATTTATTCAAACCCAAATCATTCAAACGCTTATTCAATCACCTTTTATTTAAAATCGTTACGCCCTTTTCCAGAAATTGGGGAGATGAATAGCCAGGATAGGTCTATACTTTACTACGCCTTTTTAATTGTACCTTGAGAAATTAACTTCTTCCAGCTATTGTAGCTTTGGTGCGGCTTTCTGAATAGAAACAATAAGATTTCAGTTAAAAACCAAAGTAATTATAGCAAACCTGAATGAATGAATGTAAATGTAGACCTACAACAACCTATAGAAGACCGAAAGAAGAACATTGTGATGGTGTGAAATTTGACAGGCGATAACACATGGCAAAGAAACAAAATTTAATTATGATGGCAATTGTCGCACATGCAGGCCAAGGTAAGCCAAGATACCCTTTGATAGTAGGAGAAATCAAAATACCCAACACCCCCCTCCCCCATTTTTACGCCCTTTTCCAGAAGGAGATGAATAGCCAGGATAGGTCTATACTTTACTACGCCTTTTTAATTGTACCTTGAGAAAGTAACTTCTTCCAGCTATTGTAGCTTTGGCGCGGCTTTCTGAATAGAAACAATAAGATTTCAGTTAAAAACCAAAAATTTGGCAGGCTATAACGCGCGGCAAAGAATCAAAATTTAATTATGATGGCAATTGTCGCACATGCAGGCCAAGGTAAGCCAAGATATCCTTTGATAGTAGGCGAAATCAAAATAACCCCCCCAACAAATAAATATAATTTTTTTTAATTGGAATAAGTAGAGGGGGGGGGGGGGTGTTCACTAAATTTTTCTATCCTACTTTCTTTCTTGGTAATGGTAGAGTTGTACAGAGCAGAGGTAGGCTACAGAGAATACAATTTAACTGTTGTATGCAGTCTTTGTGGTTACGCCCCTTGCTTACCTCTTGTGTGTGGAAGGTAGAAAAGAAAGACAAAATGTCAACAAAATCCCAGGTAAAAATTCGTAATTTTGTCATCTCATGATTACATTGTATTTGTATCTAAAATTAATTATTGAATTAAAATCGATTTTAGGTGCAATAACACCATGTTTGCACTTTTCATAGGATCGATTGATTAATTCAGTCAGGGCATCCCCTTGACCATATAAAGGCATAAAAAAAAAAAAGAAATTCAGACAAGACGATACTGATGATACTTCACTATTTATTACAGATTTACTCTAAATGTTATGTGTATTATTCCTTGAATATCAGAAATATTTTGAAGGTGATATGTCACTTCACAGAAAAATAATGGCCTCAATTGGTAAATTACCAGCAAATATTGTGGGAAGACATAACTGATAAATAAGTTGAAAAAATCAGTCTGTGTAGTCAATTTACTATTTAAAACCATGATACCTTGCTTAAAGCTGATTTTGGAAAGTATAGTACTAAGCCCATATCCAGCTGGAAACAGATTTATCTGACTTAGAAGCCTACAGTAGGCCTATCTATACAATATCCAAACCACTCTATAGCTTTAACGCTCTATAGGCTAATAATCTAATTTTTAAGAGGCAATATTGTTTTTTTCTTTTTTATTCCAGAATGCCTTAAGTATCTATCTATCCTAACTTATTATACTGAAATATGAAAACAGTTAAGAAAATAAGACCAGTACCTCAAAATGAATCGAATTCTGGAAGAAATTTTGAACCATGGAAATGGTTAATGAAGAGAAACTCAGGGGTTTTGAGACATTGTGAAAGAAAACAAATCTATCCCTACTTGTATACCAACATAAAACCAGTTTTGACATGGAATCCCCATGAATTACCTAATGGTGGGCAACATGGTGCCATTTTTAATTTTGATTATTCAACAGATGGGTGAGAGCTTTGTGTTTTTGAATAATGATAATAATCTAATGAATGGAATGTCTCTTCCAATTTGTTCCTACAACAAAAATCTGTGAGATATTACTAGATAATAAAACCTGCATACAACCAAGTTTGTTTTTCAAATAGCAAAGATAATTTGATGTACCGGTACAGTAAAGTAAAACTATGCTACATCTATGTAAATGAAACTCATTTCATGTGGCCTCATGATGTAATTTACTTGTGTCCATATTCCACTCTGTCTGGAGAGTCTCCATATCTAATCATGTTTTGATTAATTTCTTATCATTCTATTGTAGTTCAATTTTAATAGCAGCTTGTCAACATAAGAGTTTTTTAATGTTTGATCCATATAATGGTCAGTTGTTAAAAGAGAAACAAGATGCACATTCTGATTGTGTAAATTGTGTCAGGTCAGTTAAAATTAAAACTGATATATTTTTGCTGATCACATTTAATTTGCCAATGATATATAAATTCAGGATATAAAATTTAAGCTTTAAGTGTTTTGCAAATATAATATAAGGAGCATAATGGTTTGTAGGAGAAATTTTTGTTAAAAAAACAGGACTGAGGTAATGAAGGGAAATAACTTGATTATTAAACTGCCTTCATCAAGTTTCCAGAACACAGTTATATAAGCCTAATTGTTATGTATATTTCATTGGTAGATTTTTAGATACAAGATTATTTGCTACATGTTCAGATGATAAAACTGTGGTGTTGTGGGATTGTCGATTTTTAAAATCAAGAATTAAAACATTAACTGGACACGATTATTGGGTAAAGAATATAGAGTATAATAGTTCTGAAAGTTTATTGGTAACATCTGGTTTTGATGGCAGAATTTGTACCTGGGACATCAACAAGTAAGATTTAAATTTGACTCCTGCAATTTTCATCATGTCTGTTAAATGTTTAAGGATGAAAGAACACAACTTTCTTTCTTTATTTATATTCTATTGATTGTGATGGATTGTTTTGGGGAATGAATGTAATGACAACTGATGGGCGGTGGATATTTAGATGGGTAGACGGGTCTTGAAGAATCAATTGACCTAATGAGAAGAATATATCTTTTGTATTTCAGTTATTCTGGTCAAAATGATGAACACAAACAAGTTTTATTAACAAAAGGATTGATGAGATCTAAACTGACATCTGATAATAAGAAACTTATCATCTCAACATCTCGTGGTTATATGATTATAATACATGATCTAAACTTACACACATTACCTACTGATTTATATAGTTTTAAACCAGATGTCTACAGAGTTCATAGAATAAATTCAGCTGGTGAATCGGAATTAGTAGTTAAAGATAATCCTTTCATTCATCGGAAAACCAACAGAATAGAATTTATCTCTGACTTTCCATCTGGCAATGAGGCAGAAGTAATAGCTAGTCTACAGGTACTATGAAATGTTTGATTTTTGAAAGGAGTGTCATACCCTTATCTAGCAATTTTTATCAACTCAGTTCCTCCATTTAAATGAACGACATGGAAAATGCACCTAGTCAATCAATTGTGACAATATTGTATGATTTAGTGTGCTAAAGATGTTCTTATTAATAAACTTTCCAACTTTTAATTCAAAATAAAGTAAGCAACTAGCAGAATATCCTTTATTGTACATAATTTAAAAGCAAAAGTTTGCATATGGTCCCTGTTTAATTTTAACTAAGATTGGCCAATCAATTTAAATTACATCATCAAAAGTTAGTGAAACTGGACTTGATTTCTTCAGGTAAGTTTCTCTGTTAACATCAGTCTGAAAACTAATTCCATTATACATTTCAGGTTCACCCACATAGCTGGTGTATTGTATCCAGGAATACTAGTACAGATAGTGATTCAGAGGTATTGTTGTTTATTTTTAAAGCCATATTCAGGATAAAACTAAAACTAAAATCAGATTTTTAGAATTTTATATTTCAACGTGAAAGGGGAGCAGATATTTGTATCACCCATGTTGTTGGTCCAAAATTACTCATAAAAAATCTATGGATGTGGGTCTTAATTTTGTAACTGTTATATATATTTCAGTGGGTTTGTGTCCATGATATCCAGTCAACTCCAGACGATATTAGTCTTGATCAACCTAGTACTTCATCTTCTAGTTATTATGCATTGAATATAGATGAAGATGTAGAAGCTACTAGTAGTGATTCTGATGATAGTAGTTATTTATCTGACAGCAACGATATCATTGAAATTATAACAGATGATAGTATTGAAATAGTCTCAGATGATGAATATGAACAGAGTTTTACTGAGGCGTTATTAAGTTTTCAACAGCGTTCTGGATTAACAACAGACGTTACAACAGATACAATAGATGATTCTGACTCTTCTACAAACACAACTTCTCCATTACAAACACATAAATATACTTCAGACTGGGGGCATTCAGCTTTATTAAATGAAAAGTACAAGCATCCAGCTTTAAAAGTGAATAAACCGAGATTAATGTTTTATAAACAAGAACCTAACGTGGGGGAGGGCTTTATTAAAGAATTATGTTTTAGTTATGATGGACGTGTGATATGTTCACCATATAAAGATGGTGTACGATTGTTAACATTTAACCAGAATTGTGATGAGATTTGTGATTGTGTGCCGAGTGAAGTAAAGAATCTACATGTTTATCAAACCAATCAATCTCATAATAGCTATGTACTGGCAACAAAATTCTCACCCAAACACTTTATGTTTGTTTCTGGTAGTTTAAGTGGTAAAGTTGTCTTTCATCAGCCTGTTTTATAGCAAACTATCTTGTTTAATTATATTTAAACAAAAATGTCTAGGTTTTGTTTGAAATGTGAAGACATTTCTGAGATTTATATAATACACATAAAGTTCTTATTTGCAATAAGCATCAAATCACTGCTTTTAAAAGAATTGAATATCTAAATAGTTTACTTATCCATGGCATGTTAGACCCCCTCCCTTAACTTCCAGAAGCAAGTGCACTAAATATTTATTTTATTTTATTAATTGTTTATCTTATAGTCTTGTCAGAAGTAATGATTTAAATTTCTTATTGATACATTTTAGTAAGCTTTGTGTTTTATTTGAAATATAAACAAGCACAATCCACATTCAAATGAGGAAAAGGGAGATCTGGGTGAATGTAAAATACATAAAAGTTTGGTGATAGTTTCAAAGGTGAGGCATTTGTCGCATTGGCCTTGCCTAAACTTGATAAACTTAGGTCATTGGCGTAATGTAATCCATGGCCTTGCTTGTGACATAGTCTAGTGTTTCTATAGAAGGATGACCCCCAATATTGATCATACAGAATTTTTGAGACAAATTTCATGATACCTCTGATGAAAAGCTATCTGCTGTAAAATATTACAACTGATACTGATTAGTTTGGGTTTTTTTTCGTTGATATTTAGTAAATTAGCTACCAAAATATATATATGTAAGCTTATACTGCTCAAAAAGAATGTACTGCCTTGTCTATTGACCATTTAATGTTTATTTACATTTTTTATCAAATCTGATCATGAATTGATTTATTTTGAGATCATGAAATAAATATATCACAGATATAATGAAATAAATACAATATTGCAAAATACATTGTGAATGAAAATAAATTGTAATGATATTTGTTCTTGTTATAGTGATTTCGAAGAGGTTTTCTAATTTTTATGTGTATAAGGGAGCAGACAGCTCAATTTGCACCATTTCAATTTTAAGGCACACATATGTGGGTCTTTTGGTTTCACTAATACTAAGTATTTTATGGCAAAAGTAGCAGATTGGTATGGATACACCTAAAAAGTTTAGAAAATCTCTTTACAATTTCCTGAATGTCATTCAATTACCACAAATACCAAGCAACTTGAATCACTCTGGATAGAATCATGTAATTATTGACTTAAAACATCTTATAGTAATGGTAATACAAAGTATCAAACTTACTATTAGCTATCTTAGCCACTCTTTAGCACTATTTTGATTTGAATCGATTTGTATGATAATGTCAAATCAAAGTAAAGTTAATTAGGTTTTTAGCCTATATTTTACCAAAAATGACAAACAATTTACACTTACATATGTATTTTGTAAAATTTTGTATCAGTTTCTGAGTAGAATACTATTTTGTGAATATCCCTTTGAGATATATGGTCTGATATTAGCATGAATTGCATCAAACCAAGTATTAGTTCAGCGTGATCTTTGAATGTAATTTAAGACCAGTCATAGTGGAATCTGAGTAACCTGTGCTATGATTTAGCAGACACTGATTGAAGCTTCTTCATAAATGGATTTGGTTACCTGTATTTGATTATGAAGGAACACTGTTAATTCTAGTTGTAGAGTTTTGTCTGCTCATAGGATCCAGTACCACAATCTCTTCAATTGTTACATTGTCACTATCAGAATCTCTAGATGGAATTTCTCTATCTGTGTTATTTACATCCTCTAGCCAGGCTTCGATACGTTCAAATCGTTCTTTACGTGTTAAAGGTGTCTGAATCAAACATAAGGAATTTCCACATTCATTACTTTCCTCTTCTTTATTCTTACGAAGAGGTGTGAAAGTTTCCAAAGATTCTTTTCTTACACTTTCTGTTGCTTTTGAGTTCTGTTCAAGACAGTTGGTTTTACTTTTGAATTTGCTTTGCTTTGAATTATTTTTAGGGAGTATTTTAAAAAATGGCAAAGGATTTGATTTGATGACAGTTTCATTGGGTCTCTTCATGTATGAAGAGGTCAACATTCGAGGTTGTCCAAAACCTTTTGATTGAAGATATTCACAAAGTCTTTTTGGTGTCATTCTAGAGTGTCGCCTTCTATCAGTATCTTGTCTACGAATGTCATCAGAAGAATTCGTCTTCACTGATTGTGCTTCAAATTTCTGTGTAAGAAAACTTGTACCAATACTTTTCCTCTGAGCTGGTAAACTTAAAAATGTTTTCTCTCGAGTTTGTATTTTTGGAAATGGAGCTGTAATTAATTTGCTTTCTGTATTTTCTAATTTTAATTTGGAATATAATTCCTGACATTTCTGTATCTGAAAATATTAAAGAAACTGAAATTAATGTGATGTAGTGTACAGTGTATGTCAGTTTTTTATTTTACATTCCTTGGCTGAACACACAGTTTATTGCTTACAGCATAATGTTGCCCGTATTCAAAAGTAGGATGTTAAACTCCATTCATTTCATAAAACTTTTGTAAATTAGAAAATTTGTAGAAAACACAGGACAAGTAATCTATGTTTAAATTATGATAATTTGTTTGCCTCCAATATTTAAATGTCCAGACTGTCAATTTCAAAATAAACAAACATGACCCAGAATGTTGATAAACAAGCAAATTATTTATTTCAATTAACCCCAGGATCATTGTTTTAGTTTATTATCTCTTTTTGTGGTGTTCAAATTTAATTTAATTACTCTGAATGTGATTTAATTTGTTTGACAACCAAGTTATTAAATGGTATAATCACAATTAATTTCAATTTCAATTCTTTATTAACCTTGAGTCACAGACTCATCGGTATAACTTATTTACAAAATACATAATAAATAATAAATATAAATACATTTAGGAGAGTAATGTGAAAATAATTAAATAAATCATAATAAATCATACAGATTACATATCACCGTTTTTTACTCGCATACATTAGATATCTTCCAAGGTTTCTTAGATCTTTTACATTCGTAGTGCTCATTAATTTAAAAAATGTGTACATATTTGGTCGTGTGGTATAATATGGTTTAATATGTTGCTGGCGTAGTTCTTTAAAAGCTGTGCATATTAAAATATGATGGTATTCATCTTCAATTTCCTGCATATTACATACTTTACATATTCTTTCATTTCTTGGAATTTTAGTGTATGGACCGGTTTCTATTAATAAAGTATATACTTAAGCATTACATGATTGGAAAGACCATTGAATATTTCTGATAAGAGAATAATTGACCTCTCCTTCTGCACTCTTAAGAAAATGTTAGAAAGAATCTAGAAAAAGTATGTAGATAAAATGTTAAAAGAAAACAAAATCTTAAAAGTTTTGATTGATGTTTATTTGTTTTTCTACTTATTGATATTTATCTGTTATTATCATATTTTCACCTGGTTGTCAATATTATAAACAGTAAGATATTAGGGTGGGACTAAACTAACATATACCAGATAAAATCACTTCAAAAACTCCCAATAGGATATAGTCTTCCTTTATATTTCAATTAGGATGGGTATAGTCCCGAATTGTTGTACCATTTTAAATGGAAAATACAACGACATTTCTGGTGGAGCAACAATCCAGATGAAGTGATACAGCTTGCATTTTTAGAAAGACATTAATATTTAATTGAAAAAAAAATACGTCAGAGAATAAGAACAGACAGATAGAATATATGAATAGGTCAAAATCCTTAACAACATTAAAGAAAATTAGATACATTAACTGTATTACTGACCCCTTCTCAAAATATCAAAGACATATTTATATACAATATAATGTAATATCACATCCAGATTAATTAATATAAGTATATAAGTACAATATGCTATTTATATAATTTAATATTAAACTTGTCAATTATTTAATAAAAATAGTATTAAAGTATATTGGTAATCTGTTACTGAATAGGTATGCTTAATATGTAACTTCAAACGGACCCCTAAAGATTAAATATAAAACTTTTATAAAGTCTTTTCAATTTATCATATATCTTGTGCATAATGATTGTAACAAGGCATTTGAATTGAACGTTGTACTAGTATAACTAAGGACCAGTACAAAAACTAAAAGTTAATAACTGCAGGATCATTGAAATTTCAGATTATATTTAATTTGCAAGTTTTACCTGTTTGAAATAAGTATTAATCTGTGGTGTCTTTAACTTGGCCGATCTTTTCTTAGCACGTCCTCCAAAAGTCCACGGTCTATTTTCCATAGTTGTCATCCTGAACAAAAAGACATATATTCTTCAGACATTGTCCCACTACCTAATAAATTGGATAAACTGAAACATCTGAACGATATATATTCTCAAACCTATTTAAACCTGAATAGTTTGTTATCCTGTAACGGAATCAATTCACATACAAATTGTTAAAGTTATAATGAATGTGAGAATGTGAACTGCCGTGATATTTTTACCTTCTTGGTATCTGACCAATATCTAACCAATAAAATTTATCATTATTTCATTTAACAATTAGTCTAAAAAGGTTAATCTTTCTGATCAGACCTATATCAGGTTTTTAAATAAATAATGTTATTAGTAAAGGTAAAATTCGTGGGAAATGACGAAAGTAGAAATGTTATTAATGTGTTTAATTTGTAATGAAGGAGATTTCTCTGATAAAGAATTTATTACTTTCTTTTGATAGATATCGATCTTAATGTAACCATTTATAAAACTGATAATCAACAATTCTTTTAAGTCCTTTTTATTCTAATATGCATTATAACAGTAACCTACTTTCAATCGCCCTTTTTGATGAATAACTCAGTTAATTGCTGAAAGTCATAAAGGCGATGGGTTTTAATCTTTGATCATGGACATAACATATTCAGCAGTAATACAACACTCATTTGATTGAAATTATCTGTGTTCATTCCAAGATGTGGGTAATAAACCTCAGGCAGTGATATGGTATATCTTATTATTATTAAATTGACGTCATCAAATGTTCATTTAACTGTCCCTTAATCCCTATGATGCTTAGATTTTATTGGATGACAATGACAATTTTAGATTGCCAATGCTTGAAGCCCTACGTCATCATCTGATCTATTAACCTACTAATTAATAATGAAGCAGAAACGACATTGGTCCAAAATTTCTATCTTATTATCTCTTGAAAGTATTGGCCATGACTCTAATAATAAATTCGTATTAACTAACTAACTGCAACAATCGAAACTACTTAGATGTCCACATCTGTGCAGGCTGTCGAATGAAAAATAGACGAAAATACTCTTCAGGACCTAGCTTGTATAGAATGCTACCCTCAGTTGTGTTACTATGAATCATTAGGGCCTGAGTGGGGCTCACAGGATTGTCCAGGGGTGGGGGATTTGCAAAGCAAAGAAACACCGCTGGGTATCGGTTGAGGTAGGCCTACAGAGAAAGAAGTACGAATACTGTTTTTTGGTCATCATTAACGCACGAACGTGTGAGGTAGATAAATTATTGTGTGTATAAAATGAAAAACATAAAAAAGCAGTAAACAACAATTAATTCTACAGCTCGTAAACAAAAACGTCTATCGAAGTATATTACAAAAGTATTCATAAAAAATTTGAAACAAGTCTAAGTGCACTGATTAATTTCCTAATAAAGTCTGAAAAAACTGATGTTCACGAATCCACTTACCTTTGACGTTTCTCAAACTCTTTAAATGCACCTACTTTCTCTTCAATACGCCAAGATTGAATATATTGAAGTAAAGTGATCTTGTACAAATAATTCAAAACGTGACGGCAGACTACAGTCTATAATCTACAGTGTATATTATAGTCTCAAGTCAACCACTATCCGATTTCATCTTTTATTCAAAATATTATTCACTATGCTGTGTTACACCTGTTCTGACGTATTATTGTGGTAGATATTCAAGATAATTCTGACCTTTTCCGACAAAAACGACGTGTCTGTTCATAAAAGTGTTGGTAAGATAGATCCATTGACGTATTCTAGAGTTAAAAATATTAAAATATTCAAATGTCCAGGATTTCCGTATTTGATGGTATTTGTTACACTAATTGAACTATAAAATGATCATCGTTTATAACATTTGGCCTATATCTCGATCCATACACACAGGTGTAGAAATGTAATGTTTATAATGTCCTGTTGATAAGTATATGTCAAATTTTATGACTTCAACCTTTCACTATATAAATATAAGATATTATTATGTAATAAATGAAATAAAAGTGTATAAATAGATATTGTCACACATTAACACCTTTCTTTATCATTATTTCCTTAGGAGCTCATACAATCTGTAACCCTCATAGTATAGTTTCTAAACAACCGATTGTATGCAGAGTATTAACAATCTAATCCTAGCTTATTCAGTCAAATATATGTGTAAATTTGAATTTAAAGTAACACCCTGATTTTGTTGATTAGGAACCAAGTAGCACAAGTAGGCCTATCAAGACCATGGACAAAATTATTAATGATATTTTTTTATTTAACTTCTTTGATGTCCAATCGTTATGTAGAACTAAAGTGGTGTAGTCTTCGACACCTTTTTTTAGTTGTAGATCGTGGGCAATCTAGAAGCACAGATGGCATATGCTACACCAGTCACAGGTTGAGGGCCAGTATGCTTAAAACTTTCTTAAGTGGAAATCTTTCCTTAGCCTAGTATTATACATAAGGATGTTGCATAGACCATCTTAAGAATGTCCTAAACTAAGAACTTCCTTAACTGATTATGAATTCCTTAACCTTGACATACTTACTTTAGAAAGCACTGACATAAAAAAAAATGATTGTAACAACTATATGAATTCTAGAAAAAGAATGAAATCCTAGTGGGGATCATCGGTTTCAGGGGACACACAAGTAGCCTAGGCCTATAGCATGCCGGGCCATCTTGCGCCAATATTTCTAAACCTTCTTTTTGCATCACCTATGACTTGTAAATTTACAGATAAAGAAACGTCGCATTTTTAGATTATTTGGACAAAGTCGTGCACGATCAAAATTGTTATTTTTCTTTAAAAATATGATATTTAGAATTTAAAAAAGCCAGTTTAAATGACATTCAACTGATAATATCGGTTGCGTTCGATTTAAGAGTTGTGAACCTTGGGAACTGTCAGAGCAAGTTGTTAGTGATGCGGAGGAAAATCGAAATGCAGAGTACTGTATAAAACAAACTGACGCTTACTGACAATTCAGTTGCTGTGAAGACAGTGAGCTCATGGCACGTTTAACCTCCCAATAACGCGAACAAGTCGTGCTCAAGTCATTGTCAAAGGACAGCAACAGCACTGATGTCCATGCAGCAGAACTAAGTGCAGTTTTCCTAAGAGTCTGGGCGCAGATTCCAATGGCGTCTGTAAATCGTCTGTGCCACTCCATGTACAGAAGAACCTTGATATGTCATAACAATAACTTGAAATACCTCAAACAATTCTTTGTGCCAAATGTGGTTGCTTTCTGACAATAATCTATTATTTTATTGAAATTTGAACTAACAATTCGCTATTTTCTGTGACTTGCGACGTTTCTTTATCTTTTCAGTGCAGATTCACATAGGTTAGTCGAGTTCTTGACATTTAGGGCAAGTATTGTACGCCCACGTGAAATGGGGTTGGGGCGTATATTGGCGTCACCCATGGCCGTTCATCCACAATATTCCTCGTAGTCACTCTTGAAGGTTTTTATCATTATCACCCATGGATGAACCCTATTGAAAATCAAAAATGAGAACTATTTTATGTGATTGACTTCAATCTTTAAACGCGTTCAATTTTTAGCTCGTAAACACTTAAAGGCGCGATTGTTGCAAGATTTTGACAAAATATGGTATTTATAACAAAACACAAGACAATATTATCAGTCCTAACTTTTACTACCACTTGGCGGCCATTACAGCCAAAACTGGAATGTGATGGTTCATTACTCTTTGACAGATATGATACAAATTTATATTGCACCTTGTCACCAATACAAAATACTTCACTTAGAAGGTACTATAACTTGACCTGTTTTTGGCACTCTGGTATAAGATTTCATGTTTTATATTTAGTACCAAGCCCTTTTTCACTAGATTAAATTTGAAAGTTTGGTTCTCTTGAGCAAAACTCTGTTTGATTTATTGTAAAAGAAGATAGTCATAAAATTTCAAAAATCAGAATCGTGTCAATCAGGAATATCAACAAAAAAATCTGATCACTATAGAATCACAATTTCTATATCTGATCAAATTTTAAAATTTTTACAAAAGCTGCAAAGTTTTAGCATTTCAAATCCATAAAAAAATGTTAAGAGGTTAACTTATTTATTCAGATGAATAGATTGTTCCCCAAAATAGTATAAAATAATATTTTCAGCGCATAAAATTTCAAACTACTGGATTTAACTGATAACATTTGTGTATTCTGATTGATTTCAGATAATTTGATATTTTAAAGTTCCTATTGAAAATGCATTCAAATCTTTGCTCATAAAATTAACAGTCTAAAATAGGGTTTCCAAAGTCAATGAGTTAAATCGCCATTTGTCTGAAATTGCTAAAGCGCAATAGATGGTTGATGGGTCCCCCACGGGGTGAAGGGTATGCGGTGTTTTAATTGTCTGAAAAGTGTTAAATTTATATTACACTACAGTAAAATACATTTAGACAGAAAAATTATTTCACTGTTTGCTCATCTTTTTCCAAAGTCTATTCATCGGCCAATTTGCAAGTGCATTAAGTTAATATTTAATTATTTCAAAATAGAAAAGAGTTTATAGAATGATTCTAAAAAAATTGAATGAAGGTCAATAAGAAAAGTTACGGAAGTCATAAAGAAAGATGTGTATGTACGTAATATGATACTGGTCAAACATAACAGAACTAAATTTGGAATCTTTAATTGGGCAGATTTATTGTGGTGTTAAGACCTGATGACATATTGTTTACAGTAGACATACCAACTAATTATAGTCACTGGACCATGGGCAGTACAGAATACTCTTTTTTTGGTAGTAAAATTTAGGACTGTTATGGAATTTATCACACTTCTTTAATGAGGTTGGGCAGATAACGTTTCAACACAATATACACGTGTAGTCAACATATGTAATGGCAAGAGAGTAAAACATAAAAAATATTTAGGCTACTGTCGGTAGTGATAGTTTTATTCAATAATAAAGAGGCCACAGGCCCATTATACAAATCATAAACATTTACATAATATAGTAACTGGACTAATTTAGCCTTTATTAGTAAAAAATAACTTTCTCTTTTTGAAAGATAAAAAGGTATATTTTGCTAAATTATTCAGGATGGCAGTATTTTGGGAGGACATAAGCATGGATAGTTTTTGATGGGATAGGTATTCATAATAATATTTGGGAATTAGTTTTTCCCTTAGATCATGGTAAAATGCACAAATTAAAACAAAATGGTACTCCGTTTCAATATGTGGTCTGATGCACAAAGGGCACAGTCTTTCACCTCTAGTTAGTCCGAGTTTTCGTCCCTCTTCTATCAGTAAGTTGTGGTTTGAACACCTCAATTTACATAATGCAGTGCGAAATTGATTAATACTAATACTAAGATACATCTCGTTATTTGGATATAGTTTAAAACTGTGATAAAAATCTAATTTAGAGGTTGTTTCTAATATAGAGTGCCATTGTTGGCTATCAACATCTATACATCGTTGTTTGAAAATATGTAAGAATGACTTGTCTGCTGATTGATTCAACCATATCTCACCAAAACCATACTTATTCAAAAGCTGTTTTACTTTCAATGCCCAGCAGTCGATATTGTTTTCAGCAAGATAATATTGATATTGATACACATCAACAAGAATTCTGTTTTCTTGTTGGCTAATTAATCTAATCCAATATTTAATAATTTTACAATATAGGTTAACACTCATTGAATGAAGGCCAAGTTCACCCCTGACGGCAATGTTTGGAGCTGTCTTCCCTAACCCGAGTACTGCCTTAAAAAATTTATCTTGTACTCTTTTAATGTCAGGGGATGGGTGAAAGCCCCAAACTTCGCTGCCATATAGCAGTATTGGCCTAATTTTGGCATCAAAGATATGAGTTTGCGTACATATTGGCAATCTATGAAAGTTTGAGATTTGTGATCTTATGATCCGAATAGCTTTTTCAGCTTGCTGAGATAGCGTTTTTTGAGCTTGGTACCAAGATGTTGAGGATGAAACTTGGATACCCAGATATTTATACGATGGTACTATTTCCAAGACGGTTCCATCAAGATCGAATTTCTCATACTTTCTAAGGGTGCCACCTTTCCTAAATACTATAACCTTACTTTTGTTACTATTGACTTTTAGTTTCCATTTTTTGCAGTATGACTAACTTGTCGAGTCTCTGTTGCAAACCTTTCACAGTACTGTCGAAGAGTATGATATCATCAGCAAAGAGCAATATAAACAATTGTAATTCGTTAATAGTAATACATCTCTGGTTGTCTTTGCTCAATTCGGACACTATATCGTTTATAAAGAGAGAAAAAAGGAATGGCGAGAGCTGACAACCTTGCGGGACACCAAATTCTGCTTGGAAAAAGTTAGTAGTGCCCTGGTGAACTCTTACACAAGCCTTAACATTTTCATACATATTTTTCACTAATCTGAATATATTGCCCCTAACGTTCCCATCCCACAACTTATAAAGCAGACTTTTTCTGCAAATTGAATCGAAAGCAGCTTTGAGATCAATAAGACCACAATAAGTCGACCTCTGCATAAATTCACTATTTTGTTCACAATTGTATCTACGATAAATATATTATCTATTGTTTGGAACCCAGACCTGAATCCTGCTTGTTCATTTACTAAAGTTTCTTCCGATTTAGACCAGTCTGTTAGTCGTTCACAGATAATTTTTGCAAATATTTTCCCAGACACTTCTAAAAGGGTTACAGGGCGGTAGTTTGCAGGGTCATTTAAGTTGCCCTTTTTGAAAATTGGCACGATCACTCCCATAGTCCACTCTGTGGGATACACACCGGTTTTCAGTATACAGTTAAAAAGAAAGTGGAGAATATCCATGCAGATTTGAGGTGCATTTTTAAATAGTTCAATAGGTACCCCGTCGTATCCTGGCGCCTTGCCATTTTGGATTTCGGATATTGCATTATTTATTTCCCCGAGGCTAATTTCATTATTTAGTGGATTATCCTCGAAAGTTTCGAGATTCTCATCAATCTTAATAGAGTCCACAAAGTTTTCTATTTCATCGTGAAATTGTTTAAATTCGGGTGATATGTCTACGCCACTGAAGTGCTGTATAAAATGGTGTGTCCAATCTGTTGCCGATATTGAGTTTTTGTTTACGATTGTTTTTGGTTTAATAGCTCTCCAGAACCGTTTCCCATCATGTGCTCTTAATGTTTCTTCCAGGGAGCTGCAAAAGGCATAAAATGCCTTCTCTGACCTGTCCTTACACAGTGATTTATAATATTTACACGAGTAAGAGTACAGTTCCCTGTCCGCCACTGAGTTAGAGATATGAAACCTGCGAAGATGTTTCCTTACTTCTGATCTTGCTTCTTGACAGTCCGAGTTAAACCAATCAACTTTCGGTTTGTTGGCACTTGGTAGTCTTAAATTGAAACATTTGCTGGTTGTTTGTAAAATGTTAACGAATTCTGTATACGCAGCCTGAACATCAGAATACTGTCTGATATTGTCTATTTCCGTTCTAACGGATTCCCAATTTTGGACATATTCTTCAAATTTGTTTACGTTCCATATTAGTTTTGGTTTGTTGGCATTAAATTCAGAGTCATTTATATTTCGATCTACCTTTAGTGTGAGTTGGTACGAAATCGGCATATGTGTATGTTCTATTTCGGGTAGTATGTCAAAATTGCTAAATAATTTCATAGTTTCACTGCCACAGAGTACGTAATCAACAACACTTTGTCCATTGTTTGCAAGGCCACTGATTTTCCCTTTGTCTTTATCTGAGTGGAGTCTTCCATTACATATTCGAAAACCATTTACCTTGCAAAAATCCAGTAGCTGTTTACCACGGCTGTTGATAATTGGATCTTGTGATACCCTGGGAATATCCCAGTCAACATCGTACTCAAAGTCATCGTCAATTGGTAAGTATTTAGGATCATCGTTCTCTATGATATCTTTTGAGTGGCCATTACCAGTTCTTGCATTCAGGTCACCTTGAATTATTAGGTGGCTATTTGGATATATCGATCGAAGTTGGCAGCATTCATCTTCTAGTATGCTGAAAATGGGTTCTTCAGAGTAAATAGAGGAGTTAGGTGGGGAGAAATAGACAACACCAAGAATTAATACAATGTTTTCTAAGCGTAAAATTAACCACAGAATGTTGTCAGAGACACTTTGGTGCGTTGTAATACGGTTGGAGATCTCCGTGCTGACAAGAGCAAGAATACCACCAGAGTTGCGGAATGCCCCCTTTGACTTTTGTCTGGTTTTCCTGAGTTGGATGTATCCTGGGAAGACAATATCATCGTTATCACACATCCAAGTTTCTACACAAAATATAATATCATGTTCGTTTACCAGATCTTTAAACCCATACCTATTACACTGTCTATTGAGCCCTTCAACGTTCTATACCAAAATTGAAAGCCGTTTTTGAGGAATTTCTAATGGGCCGTGGCCTGGTAGCTATTGGTTTATTTTCTTTCTGGTTGGTTCCAGTACGCGGTTTAAGTGTTCTGACTTTAACCAGTTTATCGGCCGCTTCATCTAGACGGAAGATTTCATTTTCTATCTGCAGTTTGTCAAATTTCATTACACTAAACTTTCCATCTCCTTTTGCTCTCTTTAGATGTGGAACGAGCTTTTTCCTTACGGCTCTCGTCTGTTCAGTGAAATCTTCAGAAATAGATATATAACTGCCTTTCAAATGTTTTGCTGATTGTAGAATTCTTATACGTTGTGTTGGTTTACCAAGGGTTACCAGGATGGTCGTCTTTGCTGATGGCATCCTGTGAACATGCTGAATGTCAATATCTTCGTCTATATTTAGGTTTGATCTAAATATGTCTCTTACTGTGTTTTCTGTATCATCCGAAGAATACACCACATTATATAAAATAATATTGTTGCGTCTTGCTGCTCTGTCTAACATTTCTACTTTGGACTCCAACCTCTTAACACAGTTTTTCAGTTCGACATTTTCTTCCATTATTAAACTCATCTCCCGCTCTACGTTTTCAATCTTATGGTTTAGCTTATCCAGGTTTTGGTTTTCTTCTGACCTCATGTCTTTCATTTCTTTCAGAACTTCTAGCATGCTAACTTCTCCACCAAGGGTGGTCTGTCTAGTCTTAGGTGGACCAGGCCACATCATTGGACAGCAAAATTAAAATTTGTATGACGATGGTAATCATACATTGGTTCTTCATTTGTTTTGTTTTCGTCAATTTCCTGATTGTTTGATTTCGTTAATCAAGTTCGCCTGTCCAACATGTACAGTTTTGACACAAAAAATATTGTCTTTGTAAGGTCCTACTGCCCAATATATTTGATTGAATAGGCCTACAAAGCTGCCAGTGAGCGTATATTATCTTGCTTTCTTTATGTGAATACCACCAACCGCACCTACTACATTTGGGAAATTCAGCGATCTCAGAAAACTAAGCTTTGATAACAGGAAGCTAATTACTAGGGATGTTGATGAATTCATTAATCATTCTGAGAAGAACGGGTAACTCGATGGACAATCCGATACTGTGCTTTGGTGTATCGTTACTTTCTAAATTAACCGCTTAATTTTTTCATCAACTTAAAGACAACCTATGACTCTCAGAATTATATTGGAGTTTACATTTGAATGTATACAGAATTTCATTTCTGAAAAGTTAGTAGATGCACTGAAATGAATGAATTAATAGTGTCAATTTTCAATCAGAGTTATTTCCCCTATTCTTGCCACAAGTAAATAATCAATATGGTGGAAATCTGTCATTCTGAAAAATGTCTTGACAGATATTAATGAATAAATGGATAAAAGTGTATGTTTTTTTATCGACTGAAACATTCCAATTGGCGTTACGGTGTACTTAAAGTGGAAGAGATGTCTGTTTATGATTTGAATGATCTTCAGGCTAAGTATGATACCTTGGCAAACGAGGTAAGATTTCTGTTGTAATGACTTAATGTCATCATGACAATGTTATATACCGGACCGGTACCATATGAAGAATCATTTTACAGTAGTATGAGATGATAATAATACATGTGTACCTAATGCCCAAGAATTGAACTTAATGCATCCAAGAATTAGGGTCGATCAAGGCTAATGTAGTAATAGCAGTACAATGACAAATGCTGACAAAAGGTGTTCTTCACTACAAACAAGTTCAGTGATAGGCCTTAATCAGAAAAATTTTCTGGAGTAAATAGGCTTAGGATTAATTATGAGTATAACTTGTTGATAACTTAGTCCATACTCAAGGTCATCATTTTTATGAAAATATTGAGCCATGGGCATTAAATTTACAAAACACCCTCCATAATCTTTTCATCTAGTAAAAATGAAGATTGCATACAGTATAAGCTTAATATGTCTGCATGAATTTGATTTCACATTTCAGTATCAAGTTTGCCGTTGCAAGCTGGATAGTAAATGTGAAGCATTGTTGATATTAAGTAAAGAATTAGACCAATGTCGTAGTGAAAGAGACCAGTTTAAGTTAATGGCAGAACAACTGAGAGAAAGGTATCAAGCAATAAAAAGACAAATGACAGGCCGGGTTAGTATATAATAAGTTTTTATTCATAAGATTAAAACTTGTGCCCATTATTAAATCTGCAAGATCCTGCCTTATATAATTGTAAGTTGTAAGAATCGAGCAATGGATCAAGTTAATGTCACTAATAGGAAATCTACTTTATGCTGCTGCTAGATCTCTGATCATGCTATAGTTGACTTCCTTATATTGATTTTTAGATAAGACTTGAAACCCAGGAAATATTTGATTTTTTTTTTCAGTCACCTAGAGGCTCATCACATGATTTATTAGATGTTAATTTGTATAAAGATATGGAAACAGAGGTAATATTTTCATTGATATATCTATTGTAAAATATTTACTCTGTTGTCAATCAGACAAAAAATCTATCCTAATCTGAATCTAACCTCTTGAGCCATTTTCAGACATCATAAATATTACCTTTATCTTTTTTGTTGCAGAGTTTAGTTCAGTTATTATGTGATACTAAAGAAGTTAAAAAATCATTAAAATTTGAAGTTGATGATTTAAAACAGAAATTAAATGATGCACAAGGAGACATTAAGGTATCAGTAATGTTCAAAATTAGTTTTCATTGTGGGGTTTAAAACCATTGTATTATATAAACAAAGTTGCAGAGTATTGGAATTAGAAGGAAAATGGTAGCAATACCAACTCAGCCATTGAAACACACTAATTAAGTCACCTCAAAAAATCTTATTCTGTAATATCAATTAACAAGTCCTTTTCAGTCAATGAGTTATAGGACTATTATCAATTGGTGCTAATTTATAATTAAAATAAAAATCAATTACCGGTAACACACATCTGTCTGATTCTGAATTAAGAAAGACGTAAGTAGGTTAGGTGGCTTAACCTCCAAAAATAGTTACAACATGCAAAGTTAGTATGTAAGGTGCTTGTATCAAAATCATACAAAAATTCTCCTATGGTACTTCAATATTAGAAATACAATTCAAAATTCAAATTCATGCCATATTGTTGAAATTAAGAATAGATAGGCATTCAAGTGTTTTGTAACATTAGGTGAGCTGTACTACATTTAACTGTAGCAACAACCAATAATAGTTGATAAAATTGTATTATACTGACTAATGTATATCAAATATATTTTTTATTAGTATCAATGTTATTTCTTAAAATTTCATAAAAAAAAGTTTTCGAACAATCAAAGAGTTTTGTATGAAAAGGCTGAATGAATACTAGCTATGAATATATGAGTGATTAAGGACATATGTTGACAATTATCTAAGTTGATCTATTATTCATTCCATTATTTCTATATTACATTGAAACAAACAAACTTTTATTATTGATTAACATATTGATTTATTTCATATTGTTATTTACACCTAATGTACTTTCTGAGTACCATTACACAGCATATATAACAACAATTCATACCTAGCCTTAAATTGTTAAAAATGAAATTATGCTTGTTTTTCTTATTCCTTTTAGGACTAATAAAAAAGTTAATATTCTGCATGATAATTTACCTAACTTATCCATTGTATGCCATTAAGTTCATTTTTTCATTCTCTTTCCTGATACAATAACAATACAGATAATATCTAGATACTTACTCTGTATATGGTGTTTGATATAAAGATGGACAGGTAATGCCATTCTGCTATCGGGTTGGTCTCTAAAAGAGAGTCACTATAACTTGTATTGTTCACTTTGAATATTCGTTGTTTCTGACATGGTCTGCTTTGTTTTTCATGTTCTAGTTATTACGTGAACAGATAGCCAGACAAAGAGTTGGTTCTACAGATGAGGGTATGACAACCAGGCATTTCCCAGCTTATGAAAGAGAAGATTTAGTTAAACAATTAGAAGCCTCAAGAGAACAGGTAATGAGAAAGAAAAACCCATTGCAATTCCATTACAAAATTTCTAAAGACAAAAATCCTGAGGGATGAAATCTCTCTCTTTCTTTGTTTCTTCTTCCAAAACTTTTTCCAATATTTTCAAGCATTTCTAATGTTTCCTTCAAATATGCTTATTATCAACTGATTCAGCATCTTTGGTAAAAAAAAAATGCCATATCTTTTCTAGTAAATCAATGAGTGTGTTTCCATTGCTTTTTCAAGTATCCTTAATCATATTTTTGCCATTGTCTTGTCCTCTACTCCAATTACAGTTTATTATTCTAATATTCTTTTCATTACCATTTTCAGTATCTTCAATTAGAACATGATCTACAACAACTATTAGATGAAAAAGAAGACCAAGAAACTGAACTTGATGCCTATAAAAGTAAATATGAGAACCTGAATAGAGAATTAAATTATATATTAAAAGGAGATGAAAAGAGAATAGTTGATATTGATGCTCTTGTTGCTGAAAATAAGTAAGTATTTATGTATATTTTCTCATGGAATTATATCATTATACCCAGTATATTATGTTTAATGAAAAAATGAAAAAGAACTCCTTACTTCATTAACACTTAAATGATTGACCATGTAGTTTAAACTGAATAATTGGCAGAAACTTGGTAAATTTGAGAGGTAAACATCTATTTAACATCTATTTAACATCTAACCTTGTAAAATGAAATATTGTTTCTCTCCTTTATAAGTTAACTATCGAGGGATTTTTATTGTGTTATTATATTGCGTAGATAAAACGCATTAGTCATTAATTTAACCTCTCGTTTTGAAGACTGATCCTCTTTTCTTATGGTATAAAGGTAAACACAAGTGGGTGCTATACAACATTGCCAATTTCATAGCCGTTCATAGGAAAACATAACAGCTTGTGGCTTGTGGCTTCCTGTTACTGATGCCATTCTTGTAGTAAGGATTCTATTAAGTTTCCAATTTTTTTCCCCAGATTTCTAAATGAAAGATTAAAGCAAATGGAAGAAGAAAAATCAATGGCCATGGCAACAGCTTCTAAATATAAGGTATTTTATCTTAGTTATCTGGTTGAGCATGTTAAAAAGATCAAATTGGTGTACAGTTAGGCTATTTATACTTGTACAACAGTTTCAATATATAACTTGTTTATGTTATAGAGTATACTAGAAAGAAGAAAAAATAAAGGTATATTAAAATTTGGACAAAGTAGAAGTGGTGGCTTAGTAATAACACAAAAACAAGGTACTAATCATTTACTAACACATTCTGTCTTTTGTGAAGTTTGTTTTGTCTAGATCAAATGTTTAAATTCTAAATGTTTCAAAATAAAGGGTATTTTATCCAGGTGTACATTTACAAGGTTGTACACGAGAAGCTTTTCATTACGGGTATATTATTAGTCGCTTTCTTATGACATTAATTAACATTTCAAGCTTTAGTTTTCTAAGTCTAGCTTCTGAAAAAAGGTTTTAATCAAAATGTCAAGCAATTTAGAAATTTAATATTACTCATGAAGATTTAGTTTTAAGTGCTATAGATAAAAAATTAAAAACTCACAATTGGGGACACTGATAAATAGATTTGCCCCATTTTAATTTTCAGAAAAAGATGTGGTTGTTTCTCTCTCATTTACACCAAAACTAAGTGCTTTATGACATGGCACCTGACATAAAATAATGCAAATGGAATCCATACTGGACCTTGTTAAAAAGCTGGAAAACCTTATAGTTTATTTCATGATAATATGATAATATTGCAAATAATCAAATTGATAATAAGAGAGAAATGTGTTTTTGTTATAGTGGGCCAGATGTTACATAATCCAACAGGGATGCCTTCAACTCCACAAGCTATGGCTGATTTACAGGGTTTATGTGGAGCTTTATTAGATACCATCAATGATAAAAATTTGGCTTTATCACATCAACGTAAAACTAATAAGTAAGTTTGTAATTCAAATACTTATATCATTGTCAAACTTAATTCTTATTTTAAGGATAAGCACATGTAAGATTTTCTTTTTGTATTAAAAAGTATGTACATGTTTAATGTACGGCATGTATATCCAGTTGATATACTATTTCTAACAGATGTTATTATTTTCTACTAGACTTTTAGGTAGCCGAGTCTCAGAACTTGAGAAAAAATTAAAAACATTAGAAGTTGCTGGATTATGGAATGTTCCAGGTATGATTTTGTTTATTTGCTCTTGTAAATCATATTGCCCTTGATGATCTTTCTTATACTGTGCTATATCAAGATGGAATCATTTCACCTTTTCACTTGACTATTGTATTATCTATTGAAACCATTCTTCTTCCTTCCAAAGAAATAAAAAAGGGTATATATCACATGTCCTGTTAAAACCTTTTTATTTGGCAGGAAAGTTTTTGCATATTGGACAAATCAATTCATAACCAACCCTTCCCTTTTAGGGTTCCTCAGTTTTACCTTAATGATTGAATAATTCTTGTTGTTTCAGATATGACAAGTCTAGAGAAATTGAGGTCTGAATGTGATGAGGTAAAAACATTAATACCTCGTCAATTCTCAGAATCTAGTGATGCATCGACCAATAAATTAGAGGAAAGAAACAATATAGAAGATATCAATGATCTAGAATCTGAATTGTCGTCTGCCACACCTAGTTCTGTTACTAGTCCAATACATCAACAGTCTGTTCGCTTCTCATCCTATTCATTAGACATGGATGATTTAGATTTATTACCAACTAAAGAAAGTAACATACCAGTAAAGACAGCAGGTATGTTTGATTTTAATTATTTATTTTTGTCCAAAACCAGAAACTTATTAGATAGAATATACACTGCTGAGTAATTAATCAGATATCAAGACCAGATAATTCCGTTACCCTGTGGACCCAAAAAGCATGCAAAAACTACAAATATTTAGAAATCTAGTTCTTAAATTCAAAGTAGAAACCTTATAATGATTTGTCTTGACTTAATTCCATCAACATAATGTTGTGTACTTATCCTCCTAGAAAACTGAAACATGCATATTGCTTACCATTGTAGATGTTACAGAACCCATCAAAGATTCAAGTCTTCCAAAAGAAAATGCCTTTTCAGAAGAGGAAGATTCAGACCAACTTTTAGCTGAATTTGTCATAGAAAAAACAGCCCAAAAGAGAAAACCTCAGATATACAATAAGAAAGACACCACAGTTACAAAACATGAAAGTCAATCATTGTTAGATAGTAGTTTAAGTTGTAGTGAAAGTGAAAGTAGTCCAGAGAAACAGCGGTATACAGATATACATGACTATGATAATGACACTGATGAAAAAATGGCTATTTTATTAAACGATGCTACATCACGATTACAGAATAGGAGTAGAAATAAAGAGGAAGACAAGTCGGTTATTGGTGTCAATTCTAATACTAACTTAGTTCAGAAACAAGTTAACAAGTCTTCCCTGGTGTTTAATATACAATGTGATTTTAATATGAATTCTAATGCAGGGACAAATAATGTGGATATTAATCCTGATTCCAAGTCGGATGATAATCTTATTGACATGAATTCTCCTGAACATGAAAACAATTTACCTATAGTAGACAGTGTTTCTGAATGTGATGATCAGGAATCTCGTTTCTCAGAGTCTCAATCTAAAACCATGACTTCAGATTCATCTGAAACTTCTCAGGAAAATACAGAATCTCAATCATGCAATACACCTGATTTAACATCTGTGATACCTTCTATACAAATAGATCATATAGCAGACTGTAATATAGAATCTGAGGACCATAAAGCTAATGATTGTGATATACCAACAGACATTCCAAATGAAGCCAACACTTCCTCAACCAGTGATCATATAGAAAGTGGAAATCATTCTGAAGAGGAAGATTGTGAAAATCCTAAAACTGATTCAGGGAAACTTGAAAATGAAAATCTTCATTTAAATGATATTGACAATCTTGAAGTTGAATTTAAAGAAACAGATGATCTCAGTGATATCTTGAAAGAAGAAGATGATGAAGATGATGATGATGAAGATAATGATGAAGATAATGATGATTCTCCTGCTGATAACGGGTCACCATCCAAAGAACCATTATTGTTTAATAATGAAGATGATCCAACTAATATATATAATGATAATCAATCTGCTTCTAACTTATGTTAGATTTGTCTCTGAAAAACGTATATAATCAACTGTTAACTTCTTTTAACTCTATTGCTGTCAATTAGCCTTATATACTGAATAATAACTTTAATTTGGCAACCTATTTAGACTACAGTCTAATATATTCAATAGGTCCCACTAAACTACAATTAATGCTAGCATAATGATAACAGCATAGCACGAGTCTTAGTCCACTGGAGCCTCAGCTACTTACAAATTGTTTTCATAAAGTTACATTTTTTTTAATGCATTTTTGAAAAGTGGCATCATATGAAAGAGGTATTATCAGCATTACTGATTTTTGTTTTAACTTGTTATTAATGTTTAGTTTCTAGTCAATCATGTTGAAATGTCATTTAAAATATACTTCTTAGATTTGAAAGAAGTGTGTTATACCATAATGTTTGTTTTCTGTGATAATTTTACTAACAGATATAATTGTTATATTAAGTTAATGTGATATATAGATTTGTACTGATATTTGAACCAAAAACCTATTAATTTGTATGATGACTCTTAAAGAGGCATAGTTGTATTTGCTTAATCAGTTGATAGCCTCTATAAAACGTTCTTTGGGAGATCATCATCACTGGGAAATAATTAATTAATACAGTGGGTGCAAATATCGCCAGTTATTACATATCAGTTGTAACTGCAAGGTGGTAGTCTCCATTTTTTTATTGATTGTTAAGTATCATTATGTTCAATGTTTTAAGTCATACAGATTAGATAGAAGTATTTAGCTGCACAAGTAAATCAAGTTAGATGGCTATATCTCTTTAATTATAAGACTAATTGTTGATATCCAGCTAGAAGTCAATATATCAAAATTATTTCTGAATTAACTGTTATAGCCTATGATAAAATTTCCAATATATTTTAAGATAAAGAAATATGTGTTAATACCATGATGAATTCTTACTACATCAGAGTAAGACCTCAACTGCTGATTAAAATATTCAGATATTATTACATGACAATTAGAGTAAATCCATTTTTTATTCTGATGAATAAGTAATAGTAAAGTAAATTGTATGATTTTGAAATGTTAATATGTAAATGTATAAATTGGGCATAATATGTAAACAATGTACTAAAATAGTTCAAAATAAACTGTTGAAAGAAATTTTGTCCCGTCAGATTTGAAAACATTGTATTAAAGTGAGCTAGTGCTTTCAAGGGATTGGATTCTTATCCCCGATATAATTACATTTATCAAACTTATGATAAACAATTTCCAACTATGGATCTTTCAATTATATATAAGTATTTTATTGAAATCAATGTAAATATAATAGTAAATCCTTATAATAAAATAATAAATTTAAAACAAAAATATAAAGATTTTTATCACAGATTATAAATTCTTAAAAATTAGGTGAACTTGAAAGATAATCTATAAAATAACACTTCAAATAATTTTTTTGAAAGTGATATATATTTTTCATAAAAGTTTTTAACACAGTTTTATCTCTTTACAAGGATGTATTAACCTGTAGACTTTATTAGAAATGTAACAAAGTAATGAACCATGGCGAGAACAATGGGCATGTATAAATATAATTGTACTAACTTGTATCACTTATTATGGTAAGAAAAATGTCTCCAGGAAAGTATTGTAATACCTCTTTTGATTAACGTCACTTGCTATCAATTCAAAAAAAATGTTGATGTGATTCTGGACAATGATGGACAGTCAAACCCGTGTAAACAGTAGACTAGTAAAACTAGTCATTAGACCTATTTATTAAATCTAAATTCAGGTACAGGAAAATTTTCTCAAACAAAAACAATTCTAAAATTGATGCATAACAGAAATTATAAATTTTTTAAAAATTTGACAGTAACATATTAAAAAATAAATAAATAAATTTAAATAAATACATAAAAGCTAATCATCTCTATGTGCCATTTTCTGTAATAATTTTTTCTTTTTCTTCTTTGATCTGGTAGGTGAGGCTTGTATAGGTTGTAATGGAGGTAGTCGACCTACAGGACCTGTAGATCTGTAATCATCATCATCATCATCATAATTTCTACCATAATTATCATAACCAGATGCTCTCAAATCATCCGAACTACCACGATGTTTATTGGAATGACTATTATTATACGGTTGACTGCGATTATATTTATTATAACTATCACTATCATAACCATCATTATAACTACCATGGAGAGAATCCTCCTGAACTCTTGTAGAACTGTTTCTTCCTGACTTCACGTAACCATTGTCTGCTGAAAAACACAAATTTAAAATACCGGTACATCATATATTGTCTGGACTATATTTCCCAGCATTAGTTTCTAATTTTACAAAAAAAGAAATTATTGATGTTAAATGTAGGTAAGATCATAAATCCACCCACCTTTTAACCAGGAAAATTTTTTACTAAATATGATCTAACTTAATTAAAACCTAGCTGTCAGTCAACTGAAATTCTTAATGGAATAAATTCTCACTTAATAAAAAATTTAACCATTGCTGATTGGATGAAAAAGTGGGTAAGGTTCTAATCTTGATTAAATATTATTTTGTAAAATATTTATCAGAAATTTTTCTAGAGATTGTATTTCCAGAATCTTTTTGACCAAATTTTAAAAGTGGAGGTACCATCATGGAGTCGTCTGTAATCAGACTGGTTAATTGAGCCTAAAGTCTCTGGATCCAGACTGTCTAACAAACTATAGTTGGATTCTCGTCTGAAGTCTTTCTTCTTCTTCTTTTTAGTAAACCTAAAGAGATAGTCAAATAGTGGGTTAGTTTGTGTGATATAAAACCAATAACAAACTGTGCAGTTAAGGTACAACAATAACACAGGTAAAGTCGAGTAAAGTTATTTTTACACTTCATAATGTATTTATGTTATGCATTGCTCCTGAATGTGCAGAAATACCTTGACTCAACTATAGGAAAGAAACAGAATTGAACTATTAGAATACAAAATAGAAATTCTACTTACTTATCTCCCCCTTTTCTAGACTTGGCTCTACTGGGTACTCTTTCAAGTTCACTACTACTAACTGACATTCTTCTTATTCTATCAGGTAATGTACTAGGGCCAGATGATTTGAGCCTGAAATAGGCGTTCAAAATTTCAAATTGTCATAGATAAAACTGAATGACAAATAGCTAAGAAATTTCAATTTTGAAATATGAGATAAAAGTGTTTTTCCTACAAGTATTAAATATAACAATTCAGTAAAACTTTTCTTGATGCTTTGTACTCATTGAAAAGGTATCATTCCAGGTTTGTAATAAAAAATTAGAACTTGCACACAAGAAGCACCTGTAGGTTTAGCAACATTTCACTTCGGCTAACTAGTTATATCTGTTATACATATACCTCTAATCACATCACACTGGTATTTTATAAAGTTATTGATTAATCTAAAGTTAACTTACAATTCTTCTTGTTGAGGTGTGATTTTTGAGATCTGATCTTCATCATATAATTTATTCAATAACTGTTGTTTTTCTTCCATAGATTTTCTAGGAAACAAAATACCAATAACATCAAGAAGCTCTCCTTTCTGTAGGTGTCCAAACTTCACCAATTTTGCTATAAATTCCATTTCTTGGCTCTGAATGGTTTCTGACTTCTGTATTTGATATTGTCTTCGTGTTTCTTCCAGTGTTTGAGATATTTCTCTATCCATTTGATTCCTGAAAAAACCAATGAACAGATAAATCAGGGAATTGTCTTGTGTACTCACCAAATCTCCAAGAGATTAAGGATCAAATTTACTGATGGGCAATTTACAAAAATTGACTCTGTTTCTATTTTAGTCATCAAAGAGAGATTGATCTAATGATCTAGGAAAAAATAGCAAAGTCGCTAAAAAAATGTGGATCTTCAAGAATGCTTATATGTATATATATTTTTTCTGACAAGAATTTTGCATGGAAAAACAAACCTGAATCTTTCCAAATCCAGTAACTGTTTGTGCATCAACATCATACGTTTTAATTTGGCGGCCATTTTACTACCAGACAATGTGGTCATATTCTGCATTGCTTTATCTTGTAGTTTAATCATGGTTTCTTCTCGTAGTTGTACTCTTTCACCCAGTCTTTTCTTTAAGGCCTATAATTATCATTAATATATTCAGTTATCTCAAACTCTCTATAGAACATTTCGTGCATGAGAGATCGTATAATGACAGTAACTTGTGTCAAAGATTCACAATTTTAGGCAATATGGAACAATAAAAATAAAATAATACATACTATACAACAATTTTGTCAAAATTTACAATATATTTAGTACTGTGCTTTAAGCTTACACAAATGATTAAAATCTTAAATGCACAGAAGAATTACATCCTGGTGTTTCAAACAAAAAAGTCAGAGGTGATAATTTGTCTGCTTGTGAGCCCTTCAAATTAAAAATGAACCTAGAGCTAAAAAAAAAAGTTACAGCTGAAATGAAATGTAAATGTAATCATTCTTCTCAAACTGAATGTGTTTGTGTTAAAATGAATATAAGATTTGGTGAAGCTATCATTCCTATATCACAGGCTCAGTGAAATCATGCCTTTTACATACGTCATAGGCCCTGTCCACAGACTCTTCTGTAATATTTTCTATATCAATATTTTGAAATAAGACAAACAATTTTTCTCGTTCAGTTCTTCTCTCATCCAGTTTGAACTGTAAAGACTGAAAAAAGGTAGAATTAAATAATTTTTCAAGAAAAAGAGCATTAAAGCAAGGTGAAAATTATCAGACATATGCTTACCCTTTCTTGTTTAGCTCTGTTTTCATCTAGCTTTCTGATCAAATCTTCTTTTTGCTGAAATCAGATTGAGAAACACTTTGAATTGTAAAAAAAACAGTCATTAATGAGGAATCTGGTATCATTTAGTGACTACTGTGTTCCTTATCTGTTACAAAACAAGCTTCATAAAGTACTATTACAACTTCCATGGTAAATTAGAACTGTTATTCTGAACAGAATATCATAAAGAAACTAATTAAGTATACATGTACAAGTGAATTTGTATATTTTATTTTCATATCATATAGATGTCTGTCTTTTGCATGCAAGATTCTCTTACATTGACTCATTAGTGCATTCATTCAAGGTTACTGGTTATAGATATCATATTTGATATCTGGATCAACATTACTTCAACCAGATAATCTGGAGGTCCAATGACCACAATACTACCCAATCAACACCCTTGTACTTACCTTTCTATGACTCTCCAATAATTTCTCGCATTCTGGTGTTGATAAAATACCTCTATCATTTAAATCATCTACTAAATTTAACTTGAGATTATTGATAGCCTTCTGTTGTTCTTCTATTTTAGCCAGCTAGAAATAATAATATATCTTAAGATGTAATTATCTTCTTCCAAAATTATCATGAACCTACTTCCAAATGGTCAATTGATTGATGTAAAACTACTATAATTTCTACAGGGTTGACCATAGAAGCAATTCATCTGTATCATTTTTAAATATTCTGCAAGAAGATGCTTTCGCTAGCAGACAGACGGATAGCCGAATTTCATATAAACGCTGGGCCGTGTCAAAAACACCATGTTGACAACAGTGTGAGTTTTCATCTTACCTCTTTAGCTTTATCTAATTGTAGTCTAGCTATCATAGTTCCTAGTCTTTCTTCTTGGCTTTTTAACGCTATCGCTCTTTCTCTCACCATTTCTATTCTTATCTAAATCAGAAAAGATATTTCATTCATTTGATCACCTGTATTAAGTATTATGTTATTTATACAAAAAATCTGATCACTCATACACTAGCATCACATTAATATTCAAATATGGACAAATCTATTTTAGCACCTTTTATGTAGTTTTGTGAGCTTTTAAACTCCTCCAAAATCAGAATTCTCCTTAATTGATGAAGATATTTCTTGAGAAATAAAAATAGAACCATACCTCATCAAGTTCTTCATCTATATTTAACATCTGACCATTCAATATAGATAATCTCTGTTCAGCATGTTTCTTCATTAACTCTATTTCTTTATTATGAGTTTCATCATCATCATTTTCACCATTATTAATAGCTTTCTGTCTCTGTTTCTATGTAGAATAGATATCATACAATAGAATAATTTAATGATTTACTTCAAAAATCACACATTATATGTATATAACCTTAAATTATTTCCTATAGAATGTTTAATGTACTGTTAATGATGGTATTTGATATTATGGGAGTTGATTGGATAGGATAGGATAGGGTGAGGTGAAAAAACCTAATAATTTAGATATCAAACTTTTGCATCCATCTTCCAATATCAATTGTTTTTGCATGTTTTTCTCAGGTTCAGAATGAACAGTGGTCATTAATGAACATTACATTTTTGATAATGAAACATGAAAAATATTCATACCTGAACTTCAGATACTTGTTTTTGTCTTAATTTATCCATCTGTTGAGCCCGTCGTAAAGCCAGCCTCTCTTCTAACATTCTTTTTTGTCGTAATTTATTTAACGTTAATCTTAAATCAAAATTGTTAAAAATAATAACATCATCATGTAATGATTGTCAAAAGTTTTTCAAACATATTTGTTAAGTAATACTAAATAATTCATTATACAATTAGCAATATTCATAGAGAAACATTGACATTAGCATTTCAATATTAATCTAAGCCTAACTTACGTATTTTCTAGTTTAATCATATTCTGTTCATGTTCTTTCATTATTTTTAATCTATCTTCTTCTGATATAGATAACTGACTGTTGATTAGTTTTCTACAAGAAAAAATCAACTTTAGCAATAATGAACGGCACATTGTTTAAAAAAAAATCAAATTTGTCGTATTTGAAATACATTGAAATCTGCAGCAAACACCTTTCTAATTTTCATTTTACTGACATACCCGATAACTTTAGATTCATGTTCTCGAAGTTCTTCTTGTTCTTTTTTCTCACTCATTTTTCTTTGATTCCATTCCTTCTTTCTTCTTGATAATTCTTCCTGAAAATAAACAACAACAGAAATAATTTTAATTTACAATTTCACTTTATCAAACATAAAGCCAAAAACCATTATCTACAGACTGATTGTAGACTGACTCCGGAGAAATCAACTGGGCCACAATAGTAACAACAGTATAATCTATAGAAATTTAAGTTAATATTTATCAGATTAAAGTTTATTTGATGAAAAAGAAGAGAAATTATATTTTGTATTTACATGAAAGGATTAGGGAACAGGTTTTCGCCTAAAGTACCCTTCCCTTCAACTGATATCTAGACCTACCATAAGTTTCTCTTGTTGTCTTCTCCTCTGTTCTTCTTGACTCTCACATAATTCAGCTACTTCTCTTTCATGTTGTTTAATTATTTTATTGATATCATCTTTTAATCCTGTAATAATTTCATTCAGAGTTTATTTCTAAAACTGTTTAATACACATAATCATTTATCATAATATCAAATGATTTTTTTGACACTTGTTGTTTCAATATCATTGATGGAAGCAAATTTCTACTTACATAATTAATGATCATTTTTTTATCAAAGAATAGTTTAAGATATATAAAATTATGTTCAACAAACTTAATTAGTTCTATGTTACTGATGTAGGCAATAGTTTAGAAATATATTAAGGACTTTACTTCAAACATCACAATGTTACTGATCCAGAGTGTAGAAATATTAAACGATTTACTACAAACATCACTATGTTTCTGATGGACACTATAGTTTAGAAATATCTAACATCTTTTTATTTACTACAAACATCACTATGTTACTGATGCTGACGGAGGCAATAGTTTAGACATTAGTAAATGATTTACAATAACATCACCATCACTATGTTACTGATGAAGGCAATAGTTTAGAAAAATATCAAAAGAATTTACTACAAACATCACTATGTTACTGATGCTGACGGAGGCAATAGTTTAGACATTAGTAAATGATTTACAATAACATCACCATCACTACGTTACTGATGAAGGCAATAGTTTAGAAAAATATCAAAAGAATTTACTACAAACAACATTATGTTACTAACACAGGCAATGATTTAAACATTAGTAAATGATTTACTACAAACATCACTATGTTATTGAAGGCAGCAATAGTTTAGAAAAATATTAAATGATTTACTACAAACATCACTTTGTAATTGATGGAGGCAATGGTTTAGAAATATATTAAATGATTTACTACAATCATCACTATGTTATTGATGGCAGCACTAGTTTAAAAAAATATTAAATGATTTACAACAAACATCACTTTGTTACTGCTTGAGGTAATAGTTTAGAAAAATATTAAATGATTTACTACAAACATCACTTTGTTACTGATGGAGGCAATAGTTTAGAAAAATATTAAATGATTTACTACAAACATCACTATGTTACTAACGTGGGCAATGATTTAAACATTAGTAAATGATTTTCTACAAACATCACTATGTAACTGATAGAAGTAACTGATAGGAGTATGACATCAAATTCAAAAAATTTACAATAATACTACAGAATTAGGTATACAACAAACATGACTACAAACCTTGAGATTGGAGTTTTTCTAATAAAGCTTTCTCCATGGCATACAGATCGTCTTTGGCTCGTTCACCAATAAGATCTCTAGCTTTCTCTAGTTGTTTACTATGATCATTATCTAACTCTATCTCAGCAAACAACAGTTCAGCTCTATGGTTTGAACGTAGAGAAAGGAGACCTTCCACAACAGATATAGGCTCTGAAATATCAACACAAACTTGTTTCCACTAAATTAATCCAAAACAACATATACAGATGTCATACAGGGGACATTTCATTAATTATAGTAATGTAGAAACAATATATAATACTTCGAAATCTAGAGTTCATATGAAATGTCTTTAATTAAGGAAAAAAATCTGAGTAGGTATGACATTGATTAAGTTGTGATCTACATGGTGTCAATTTATTATTTATTTACCTATTGGTCCATTGGTTTGTTGATCTTTACATTTCTTTTCATATTCATTTAACTCTCCTTCTTGTTTCTTTCTCTATAAATAGAGAAACAAATAAATTAATGTCTGACTTTACAATAATTGTCTTTGGGGTGAATATTTGATAAAAGAACACAATTAAGGCAAACTTTTAAAAAATAGTGTACATTTATAAGGTAAGTCATAGGGGAATAATAAATACAATATTCTAAGATAGTGAAATTCTGTTATGAACTAGTAATTAAATGATAGTGTGATGGAATAATTTACAGATTTATTGACATGAAATTTGGCCAAAAGATAAATGGTAAATGTATAAAGTACTGATAATAAACTTACAATAGTATTCATCTTTTCTTGTTTCAAAATACTCAATTTCTTATGAAGTTCATGTTCTTGTCGTTCTTTTTCTTTATCCATCTTTTCCTTGGCATTTAACATATCTTTTTTAACTTCTTCTATCATATCTTCTGCTTCTTCATCAGTTAGTTTGTTTTGTCTATAAAATAGATATGAAAATTTAAGAACTAACAGAAAGGCCAACCAAAGAATTACCTTGAATTCTGATGAATTTGATTGAAATTATGCAACCAAGCCCAAATTTATACCCTCTGATAAAAATGTTCCTAATAAGAAATAAGGCTAAACCAGGCAGAACCAGGTATAGATAAATGGTAAAATAGTCAAGTCATCAAGATTCAATATTAAAGCTACTGAAGTACATACTTTTTAAGTTTATTAATAACTCCAACTTGATGTCCTGCCATAGTATTTAATAAATCTGTTTGATCATCTTCTTGTAATTCCTGAAAATATAGAACAGACTTTGTCAAAATTTGAAGAAAGACCTGTAACTACCATCATGCTATAAAAAAAATTATTATCACTCTTGAAGGGGCCCTATGCCATTTTAAATGGTACATGAAGTTGAGCAGTTAATACTAAGGTCACAATCAGGTTTTATTGACGCCTTTGTCTTATATTTCCTTCTTAACAACACAATCTAAATAGTAATCAGTAAAACTTACACTAGCTTGAGCCAATGCTCTTCTTCGTGCAAGTTTCTCCTCTAAGGTCATTCTCTGTCTGGAAATTTCATCATCAAACAACAACTGTAGAGCATCCTGTTGTTTTTTATGTTCTTTGATTAACCAGTCAGCTTGTTCTTGTGTCAGTTTACCTTTCTCTGTTACATCATTAATCATAATCTGTTGTATCTCTCTTATACCCATTCTCTTTCGGATTCCAAATTCCTGTAAATCAGACATTCAATTATCAAATATAATTCTTGTACTTGATGCAATAAATGTTTGAGTATGGGTATAGTAGCAGGAATAATTGTAAAACATGTCCTCCAATCAGAGTTCTCTTGCAATACTGTACATAAAAATGTTGTAAAAATAGTATCATATTTCACAAAATCTATCTAATATGAATTTGTTAGGGTCCAATGTATTCTTTTGATAAATTGCAGTGCAAGAGCATTTAGTTTTTAGTGAAATTGGCAGGTACAAAAGTATCTATGACTGACCTTTCTCAATTTCTCAGCTTCTTCATTTTGTTCTAGAGCTAAAACATAAGTTAGTTCATTTTGTTCTGTTTGCTGCTGTTTATCTAATATATCCAAAAAGTCTTGTTTTTCCTGAAAGTAGAATATCATGATTTAGATGATTAAAGCAATTTGATTATAATGATAGGTTTCCTTATCTTTTAGTGTCAAATTAAGCAAACTATTTAATTAATTGGTGTATCAAATGAATTATCATGTATTCTTAATCATATCATTATATTCTTATTGCATAGAATCAAGAGTTGTAACCAATCATAAATGTCCACATAAAAAAAAAAGACTTTTGACCTTTCTTGATCGGTCACTCATTGGAATTCTGCTGGTAATTCTCTTCCAATTTAGCTAATTATGAATTAATTATGGACATGCGAGACAAACTGGTATTTTTTCAAGTCATTAGAACACCTCTACTTTCTATTCAGATAAGTATCAGCATTTTCATTTTCATAATTGAAAATAAGGGAACCCATCTTAAAAGTAAATGGTATAAACCATTGACATGACTTGCATAAGTAAAACAATTGAAAAATCTCAATTTCCTATACTCTAAAACAATGAAACAAACTTGGACTAAATCTGCTCGGCTAATGTAAATAAGAATATTAATAAAGTAACTTTTGATTTCGCCAACAAAGTAGAAATTATTCCTCATCAGATTAGCAAATCAGTGATTGTTTGTACCTTTTCCGTTAAATCAGCAGCATTTTCTTCAACTTCTTCTTTCTCCATATTATGTCTGTGCAGCATTTCTCCTACTTTTTCCTACAATCATAGACGAATTTTAGAATTTTACTTCAAAAATTATAAAGATAGCTTGCCAGGCAAAGTAATATACGCCCACTGGCAGCTTTGATTTTAAATAAAAATATTTGGCAATTACAATTACCAGTATGAACCTTCTGACATACACTCTTTGAGGCGATACTGAATAATATCACCAAGTTTCATCAAAATCTGTCAAGAACTGGGCCTTCTAGAGTGTTTAGAAGCTAAAACTTAAACGCGTTTTTAATAACAAGGACAATAATATTTTTCTGATTTTTCTGATTTTCGTTAGGGTTCATCTTCGTGTGATAACATACATTCACGCCAAGTTTTATCAAAATACATTAAGAATTGTGCCTTTTAGAGTGTTTATGTGCTCTCACCATACTAAATATTTTTCGATTTTTCTGATTTTCAATAGGGTTCATCCTTGGGTGATTACAAACAACCATACCAAGTTTCATCGAAATCACTCAAGAATTGTGACTTGTAGAGTGTTTAGGAGCAATTGTGGACGGACGGACCGACAGGGTGATGACAATATACGCCCCTCATTTCATGTGGGCATATAAAAATGAAGGTATATCCCTCACCACACTCTAGTCAATGATAAGTATTAGACCCCTGACAAACGTTACAAATTATAATGTGCAAGTTTGTGATCATGGCTAAAGTCGTTCGGGAACCAGTTTCACATACATGTATTTGAAAACCTCAAACTGTTCAGTTTTTTTTCATGTTAAGTTTACCTTATTTCTAGCACACAATCTAATTAAAATAATCTCCATTTCCTTTCTATAATCATCATCTAGTTTCTTGTCTAGAGTTTTTAGATTATTATTAAATCTGTTAACAACATCATCTTCTGTTTGTTTATTAATATCATTATTTAATGTCATATTGTGTATTAACATTAACCCTGTCTGTGTAGCCGCTTCATTTTGTTCTTTCTCTATATCTGTATCTACATGAATTGTGGTAACAATATCCAGACTGAAAATATATCATAATATATAATCCATGTGTGCAACACAGCTTCTGGCATGCACTGAGGTAGAGGTAGCTCCTGGGTGCTAAATATATGCTGTGAATCTTTAGAAAGAAAGAAAGATTACAAGCCCCAAACCTTTCCTAAGCAAATTGTTAATCTTTCATCAATGGCACTCAGTGAACTCCTAAGCATGTGATGAGATCAAAGCAAAAATCTAGCTTAAAATAGATGCCAACATTTCTGCAGCTATCATCATACAGTCTTAAGCTACTGTTAATCATCTTATATTGTGAACTTACTTGTCAATTTCTCTAAACATTTGTAATTTATCTTTTAATCCCAAAATATGAACTATACTATCATCAGGTCCAATTAAACTGAAATATAATAACATGTACCTATAACTGAAACATAACAACAGGTACTTTATCTGAAATATAATAACAGGTATCTATAACTGAAATACAATGACAGGTACTATAAATGAAACATAACAGCAGGTACTATATCTGAAATATAATAACAGGTATCTATAACTGAAATACAATGACAGGTACTATAACTGAAATACAATAACATGTACTATAACTGAAATATAATAACATGTACTATAACTGAAACATAACAGCAGGTACTATATCTGAAATATAATAACAAGTACTATATCTGAAATATAATAACAGGCACTATATCTGAAATATAATAACAGGTACTATAACTGAAATATAATAACATGTATTTATAACTTAAATATAATAGCAGGTACTATAATTGAAATATAATAACATGTATTTATAACTTAAATATAACAGCAGGTACTATAATTGAAATATAATAACAGGTACTATAACTAAAATATAATAACATGTACCTACAACTTAAATATAACAGCAGGTACTATAACTGAAATATAATAACAGGTATCTATAACTGAAATATAATAACATGTACCTATAACTGAAATATAATAACAGGTATCTATAACTGAAATATAATGACAAGTACTATAACTGAAATATAATAACAGGTACTATAATTGAAATATAATAACATGTATTATAACTGAAATATAATAACATGTACCTATAACTGAAATATAATAACATGTACCTATAACTGAAATATAATAACAGGTATCTATAACTGAAATATAATAACATGTACCTATATCTAAAATATAATAACATGTATCTATAACTGAAATATAATAACATGTACCTATAACTGAAATATAATAACAGGTATCTATAACTGAAATATAATGACATGTACTGTAACTGAAATATAACAACAGGTATTACAACTGAAATATAAAAACAGGTATCTATAACTGAAATATAATAACATGTACTGTAACTGAAATATAATAACATGTACCTATAACTGAAATATAATTGCATGCACCTATAACTGAAATATAATAACATGTACTTATAACTGAAATATAATAGCATGTACTTCACCATTCTAATTGAACTGAAATATCAAAACCAAAACCTGAAAAGCTTTTGTTCAGGTTGGAACCTTACAACTATTTTATACTCCAGGTGATATAATTGGACATGGTGACAAACTTTCATAAAAGAATCAGTGTTTTTTTATTCAAATATCTGTAGTGATATGAGGGCTATACACCTGTGTCTTACCTGTAATCTTTGATAGAATTGAATCCTTTCTTGATTGCATCTTTAGGATCTAATACTATCTTCTTTCCTGTTTCTTTCAACTTCCTTTGCTAAAAACATTGTTAAGATAAAAACTGATACATTTGAACGTTTTTTTTTTAATTTATAGTTCTATTTGAGATACAAATTGATATAATGTTGAATTAGAAAAAGAAAAGTTGAATCTGCTCTTGACAGTATTGAAATGTTTCTGGTCATTTGACAGATTTGAATACATAGAAGCCAATCACTTTCATCAGTGAATCCTAACAGAGCATCATTCCAATTTGCATGCAAAACATTTTTTTTCTTAGAAACTAATAAATACTTACTTCTCCAACTATTGTTCTACTACTATTACTACTACTTACATCTAATTTAGACGGCGATATAGAAGTAGCCATTAACCCTTTCTTCTTCATAATAGTAACAATACAGAACACTATTAATATAACTAATAAAATACCCAGTATAAAAGCCATGAAAAAACTTAACGCTGTAAAACCGTGTTGGTAAAATAACTGAAGAAAAAATTATGAAAATGTGATTCAATTCATCTAATCTACTTGTAACCATTCCATTTAACGTCAGATATAGTCTTAGGCCTACACTTTTAGACCGCTCAAATAATGATGCCTTTGATCCCATCAAAGCGAAGCAAATTGGTCACTGTCTATTTTTGGCTTTCCCCCCTTTTAAATTAAGGAGCATCTCCAATAGCATATATCAATCACACCCTTAATATGATATAATATTGGTTCTAGCCATTTGTGATCAAATATTAAAGTTATCAAAACAAGCAGTCCAAATATAAACCAGTCTGACCCTTTATAACATCACAAATAAAAAATATAATTCTAGAACTTACACTTTTTTGTAAAACTGTAGTTCTTGTAACACAAACAGTAGGTTTAACTGTAGAGTAAATCACACTTGCTGACTGTAAAAATAAAAAAAATGCTCAATTTTACAAATATGTTTAATTTTACTTTATTCTGAGAGCTAGAATTCAAACATCATTTACTCCACCAACCATTTTATTGATAGTAACTTAAAATATAGTATTAGGTGTTATAGAGGGTACTCTTTTATAGAACCACTTGCCTCAATATAGTATAACATCAGAGAATTTAATACAAGATTTCTGAAAATCATGTATATAAGACAACTAGAACTTGTTGTCCAGAAGATAACTTACATCAGAAAACTGAACAAATGAAGCGTAAGATGATTTGCCAGGAGGTAAACCTTTCATATCTTCTCCTCTAGGTTCAGCTAAATATTCAAATGTCCGACTATTATTTGCTACAAGAAAAAAAAAAATCGAAATTAAAGTGTACATCGGAAGGAGATGATCAAGTTTGACTATATACATAAATAAATGTTAACATTCTCGGTACAAATTTCCATAGTGTTTTATTTGCTTCAGTTTTGGGAACATAAGCTTTGTTATAAACACCATATCAGTACAAATTTTGAGTAAAACTACTTCTTTGGTTAATAAATCATATCTCTATACCAGAAGAGAATTTTTCTGTTACAAAGGCCAGTGCTTTAATGCCAAGACGAATGGGACTCCAAGTATCCAAGCATGCTTATATATTCCACCAAGGTAATAAAACACAGTTTTGCATGGTCCTAATCCAAATCAACAAACCTGTTATATTTGAAGCCACATTCCAAGAAACTTGATTGCGTCCAGTATTAGATACTCCTGGTTCCAATATTCCTGGTTTAAATCCATCTCCTAACACAGCCCATAATCCAGCAGTAAGATCATCATTGAAAGATACATCTTTTATATAACTAAAGGTAGAGTTTATAGTATGATATAGAGTGGTTGATATTTTAACTTCGGGATTATTCTTATCATTGTTTGTCACCTAAAATATGAAATTATTTCTAACATTTAATGATACAATACAAGCATACTTGAGAAAAATTCTCTTGAGGTGCATTTTGAAGAAAAATTAAAAACAGTGGAGCTACCAATGTTAACTAGCTCATAATAAGGATTTCAGGTCACTATTTTATATCTTATAAGGAGCATATCTTCATGTACAAAAAATCATATCTGAAAATATTACCACTTAGATCCTAATTATGCAAAAAATATTTGGGTCAATTAAGAAAGTTGTATTGTACTAGAAATGAACATTACCTGTATAGTTTTAGTAATAATTACATTAGGAACAGCAGTATCTGTTTGTATGTTATATTCTACACTAGTTTCTGTTAATGGAGTACCAGTATTAGTGGAATATGTTACCTACAAGATAAAAACATATTTTATATCATTGTCATGAATAAAATGTACTATTTGAATATAGAAAGTAACAGTAGTTGTATAATAATAATAATCATAATAAAATTTTATACAACTATACATAAAATATACATAGTAATATCATTTATACACAAACTGGATGTGTCGTTGTTTCTTTCTGAAGGTGGCTCTGCTTGCCATACATGATCTGATGAAACTGTTATGCATCTTCAGTTCAAATGCTGTGTTCATCTAAAGATTAACTTAGATAATGCGAGAAATTATACAATATACATTGTATAATATAATATTGTTAACCATATGTGTTAACTCCACAGAACCTGATACAAAGAGTAATTGCATCAGATCATGGATGACATAGTGTAGAAAACTGCAGAAGAAACATGAAATTGAGATTGATTCAAACCTACTGTACATATTCAATATCTTATGAAATGATTTACATCCATTAAAGTAATCCTTACCACAAATAAGTTTTAACTACATTGAAAAAATTCTTACGTCTGCTAAAAGTGAAGCTTCTCCAGGTACACCAGATGAGATAGTTTGATTATAGATAGTACAGACTGTTGTCAGGGCAGTGATACATGGTGTTAGATATACCACTGTTAATATCAAACTTATAATATTCATTCTGTTGTATTTCTTTATTTATTCCAATGTCATCATTGATAATCTGAATTAAAAAATTAAGCGAGTTTGTACTGCAAATACTAAAGGGCAAGATATCTGTGAATTCAAGGGTATAATATCTTAATACACTTTCACAATGCCAACTGTTCAGGGATTTTTTAAGTACCGGTACCAAATATTGTGATTGAGTTGAATATTATTTTATCAGTCATAGACTAAAAAAAGACAATATCCTCAACAAGGCTACAAAATTTGTCTCAAAATTCGACTTTAAAAAATCATGAGTTAGATTACATTTCAAGGATAACAGGCCAGAAATTTCAATTAAAATTAAAATCTCTTTGTGCTCTGATTAATCAAGGTTCTGTTAATTAACTACACAAAAAAACATATGATTGGAGATAACTTTATCTCTTTGATAATCGATAATCTAAGTTAAAAAAAAGATTAGTAATCAATTTAATAACATTTTTACAGGTTTTAAGAAGTTCGTATTTTTTGCATTTTTGGTACATGCTAAGTAAATGTAATATACATTTTTACTTCTGATGTAAAAGATATAATATATTTTGGATATTTTACCACTCATCACTTACCTTTGGTAGTCTCTATCCACTAACATTAGTTGTCTCACCTGTAGCCTACACGGGTAAATTAGGGTTTGTGATGACAAACAGTAACTATAAACTTACCCATTAACACAACCTAATCCCTTGATTAATATGTTCAACTTCAATTTACAACATTTTGGATTAGAGAAGATTAATACTTTTAAAGCAAGTGATTTTCAATCTTGTATAGATCGTTACAGTTAGATTGTCCTACTTTCTATAAGTTTCATGCAACCCCCAGAATATAGCCAATCAAAAGCCAGAATTTCATGGAAACCTTGAAACCGTTAGGTTAGTTACGGCTATTATTTACCACAACAACAAAATGGCTACCTTTTCATGACAGGTGCACACACGATTTTGTTTGTATCCTTTTCTAATCAACTGACATTTTCGAGATGAAATTAATGACAGGGTGATTGTCATCCGTAAATATGAATACAGAATAGAAGATCATCTCATAAAAAACTTGATTTCTGATTTAAATTCATGTGAAAAGTTGTGAGTCGAGAAAGGCGGCTAAAGATCAAAGGCTTAATCGGATAGGTGAAACAGTTATATTGTCAATCAGAGGGAATTTTCAGTAAATAAGAAGTGAAAATGGCATCTTGTACCGCTGAATCTTATTGTGTATCATTACAAGTTTTGGAGGAGCAAGATGAATTTGGTGCTGATCCTGGTTGGGTTGCAGGAGCTTTTATTCTAGGATTATTGTTAGGAGCAGGATTAACAGCACTATGTGTCAGACCAGTCCTCAGAGAATTGGAAAAGAAAAAGGTACTCAGCTTTAATTTGATTTACAGTTATGTTTTATGTCAATTCTGATTCAGCATTTTGAATGTCATTTTCAATATTTTTAATTTTTTGTTTTAATATACTTAGCAATATTAAATGTTTATAATGTTTAAGCATATAACTTTTTTAATTTACTCAGGTTTTTACCAAAACTTGAAGAAAAAAAATTTCCCAAAAATATTTTAGAAATTTGCATATTTTTTCAGCGCCAAGATGTAGAGAAAGGTACAAAAGGACATTATCTCAACAATATAGAACCAATTGCATCTAAAGTTATTAAAGATGACTTGGTAAGTTTCAATTTTCTGCATTTTTACAGATTAGACTGTCAAAATATCAGTGCTTATCAAAAAATAAATCTCAGTTGGCAGGGCTTTTATTCTCGTTGTCAGATAGCTGTGGTTCCTGTTATTTCATATCAAAACATCAAAACAGCTTGAATTGTATTTAGGCTAGTGACATCATAATGTGGTCAAGTTTTCCAACATTATAGAAACCACAAACACTGGGCGGGAGATTGATATGGTGCAAATAGTGACTAATGTGCTGCTAACAAATAAGGTCTGATAATGAAAACTGATTTTGATTATGAATTGTATATTATCTATATAGTATGGAGAGAAAAAAAAAATTAAAAAGAAGAAAGGAGGTAAATATAAAAAACGGAAGAATGAAGATGATGATGATGATGAAGATTATAGTGATAAAGTTAATGAAACATTTCCTGAATTAGGCAAGGGTATGGTAGATGTCATGATACAGAGTGAAAGGTAAAATATTATTCAATAACAACTTCAGTGCTAGTCTTAAAAACCCGAATCATAACAATAGTTTCTCTTTTCTTGGATTTGAAAAATATTAGTTTTTTTTTCCTGAAATAATTAAGACTTGGGGAAGACCTCTTTCTTTTAAAGAAAGTGCTGAAGAAATTGTAAGGTAAGCTGAAGAGTATTTCTTGTATGAATATTTACCTCAGACTTTAGAGTCATATAATTGCAGGAAGCTCCCCTTTAAATCTTTACATAAGGATCATATATAGGATGATGTATATTTTTTTTAGGTGAAAATATCCTAGATACCCCTATAATGCCCACTGTATTTCGATAAAATGAAATGGGTACCGTATTCTATGTTTTATAAAGTAAAAAGGCATGTTTTTATTGGTTGAGTTGCTATGATATTTGTAAGTTTGACCTGTGCAATACTATTGATTTGTGAATGAAATTCTTGAGGTATAAAGGGAAATGATATTTTTATAGGCTATTAAAGTAGGTTAAATAGTTTGCCAAGTAGATGTTCTATTACAATTGTACTATCAATAAGTATAGTGGTTGTCACAACAGTCGTAGTTGTATAGTTAGATAAATCAATATTTGTTTAGTTAAGTTTCTATTTTTATAAAACAATAGATTTCATTCTGTTTTTATTAATTTACCTAATGTAAATTATCAGATGGTATGCCCACTGTTCTGATATCATCATAAAAATATATTTCTACTGAGTTACCTGATGGCTTATTTAGAGTGCAGACAAAAAAAGCACAGACATTACTATATTCTCATACACAATTTCGTTTGGACTATAGCCTACAACTCAAATCTTACCAATAAACAGAATTAATAATAAAATACATAATATATTTATGTATAAGAATTGTCACAATTTGTATATCTAATTTCATAAACATACAAAGACAATTTAAGCATGTTAAATTGATGTGGTATCAAATGTGCATTTTTTTGTCTCCATTAGATTTGTTATTGCAAATTCTTTTTCTAAGAATTAATCTAGATAATCTGGTCTACAGTAGTGTTATTGAGAGATTTTATAATGAATTATTCAGGTTAATGTTGACTATCAGCTATAAATAACAACAATTCTCTGTTTTCAAGTTGCATTAAAAATTAAAACTTAATCAACCTATTTCTTTAAATCCATTCTAAAGTAGGCAAAAACATTCATGTTCAAATCAAAGGTATAGGTATCAAATGCATATATCAAATTAGTTTTTAGGAGCCTGTAGGCCAAATTGATAACCGATTACTGATGAGATAACAGTCAATTACAAATTCTGCACTTGTTAAAGGCGGAGCTAAATATGTCAATCATGATATCACAGAGTTTGTGCATAGTGTAAGCAAACACCCCATGCCAATGCATTTCTTAAAAATAATATTCTCCCTTATATCAATCTCACAATTGGAAATTGTATGATTCTGTTGTAAAATTATTTTATTATGGTAAAGAAAGCAAAATGTACATTTTTTTTTTTATCTAAAACAATATTACACAAATAAAAAACTATCAATAAGAATATTTATTTGAACTTTGTAGTTTTGATGCTGATGTTGAAATAGCTAATCAAGATTTACAGACAGTAACATCTATTGAAAATCATCAGAGAAAAGAAAAACAAAATGTAAGTTATACTTGTTATTTCTCAATTGTTTTATATTATAACATGTATATAGGTGATGAATTATTTATAAGTTTCTTTGGCTTGTAATTATAGAATATAGTAGTTTAATTATGAGTTATACCAAGGCAGTAGCATAAGGAACGCACTTTTGAACTGAAGACTAAACTTTAGAAGTCAGAAGTGTCTTTTTTCACTTATTTTAAATCCACCAAGATCCCACTTCCTCTTATTTCAACTTGGATTGTGCTACATATACTGGCTGGTAAAATTAAAGACCAGTTATTAAACTTGTAATTAAATTAAATATTAGTAAAAGTGACAGTCTATGCTTCTTGAATATGAACAAATATAAGAACTGAGCACAAAAGTGCTAATGGCAATCTTCAAAGTTAGAGGAACTGGATCTTCATTTTGAAAAAGAAATTTTTAATTAAACTATATCTCTGTAAATGTTATGGAAATATTTTGAAAAAGAAAGAGATGGAATTTGTCAATTTTTTTTTTATTGAACATTTTCTGTTTTTTTGTAGCTAAAAGTTCAGTTATTGGCTATAATATTAAGAAAATATTTAGATAAGAGAACAATAACTACATCTTTTTATGATGGCTTTATTCATAAAACACGAATTGAAATGGATGACTTTATTAAATTGGCCAACAGAGAGAAGACAGAAAAAGAAGAGGTAGGCTAATATATTTTATGTATGTTTTAGGAAAAGCAGTTTCAGTGATGGGACATAAACTAAGTAAGATGATGCTGCAATCGTGGATTATTGATATTGACATGGACACTCCTTAATGATGTCCCCTTACCTCAATATTTTGGGGAATAACATGAAAATTGTATGGATAAAAATTTGTTGTACAACCAATTATCAAAATACATACTTTACTGCACTAATTTGAAATTTGGCTGAAAACATTTTCAGGAATTTTGTAAAAAAAATTTTCATTGTTAGATTTAATTAGAATTATTTTCTCTAGGAAATACATGGTGATCTTAAAATCTCTAAAAATCCTGATGCAAAGGAAACAGAATTACAGAAAGTTCAAACAGAATATAACAATAGATTGGTAGGTCTTTTGCACATTTAGTAATAAATAAATAAATAATAAAAGCAACCCAAGAGATTGTACTGGAAAGAGGGAGTGGGGGGAGGGGGAGTTATGATATAATATATAATTTATGTGAAATTAGAGTTTTAAGTTAAAAGGTGCCGTTTATAAGATGATGAATGTTTGGAGTGAATGTTAATGAAATGTAATATTTTTAGGTACAATTTGAGAAAGATTATACTGATAAAATAAGACAAGATTTGATGAGATCATCAGGTTTAAATGAAACAGAGGTTTGTTTTTATTCAATATTTCATATCTATTGCTTGTTTGTTTTTAAAGAAATTCTGTCTTTTATTAGAAATTGAATTGAGTAAACATCAGCTCTAGAGGACAGGCAATATCATGCAGGTTAAAAAATTCTGCTTGGGGAGCACCATCAACTGCTCTTTTTCAAGATCTACTTTACTTTTGCATACAGATCTGTCACTCACTGAAAGAGAGAAACCAGTTCGAAAATCTGAGGCTACACTGTGGACCATTATGGGACTCTCAGTCCTCCAAAAGTCTTTCATGCTAGTAAATGACCACAACTACCTCTTTTAGTCACTTCTCTGATCAACTTTTGTTGAGATACTGATGATACTGCATAGTACAGTAGACCTAATGAGTTGAAGAATGTAGAGAGATGTTATTTTTTATAAATTAATTTTACAGATTGAGGGTATAATGGAGAAGTTAAATAATG